CAGTAGTGAAACAACAACAACAGCAACAACAAAAATAGTAATGATGATGATAATAATAATATTAATAATAAGCGGCACCTGCAACAGGAATTCCCGGACGTACCAGGTTGTCTCCTCTAAAATACGTAATTATGCAAGTGTCACACTGAGTTTTTTTAGGTCAAGGTTCTAGTCGCTTGCAACTAATTGCTATAGATGTTACCCCAACCTGATATACACGCTGTTGTGTACGGTGGATTAAACACACAAACATATAGTGGGTGTGAACGTACGTTTGTGCACACATGGTGCTATGTGAGGGATCGCACACACACATACACACATATACACACACATACACGTGCTGAAGGAGAAGAACCTACGATACAAGTAGTAGATTAGGAACCATCTATGGAATCTGTAAACAGCGTCCGAAGAGCTGATGGTTCACAAATTCAGTGGGCGAGGTGTAAGTCGACCATAATAGGATGAGTTGACTATCTAAAGTATACATGAATATATATATATATGTATGTGTGTGTGTGTGTGTGCGTGTGTGTGTGTGTGTGTGGATGATGGGGAGGGGGAGGGTTGACCATCTGATGAGGACACATGTGAGGGTTAAGGATAGCTATGTAGGCTGACCATCTGATATGGATGGGTTGACTATCTAATGTACCAACATTCAGTAAGGGGACAGTCCGAAGGAGGTCGGGGACTAGACTGTGAGGAGGAGGAGAACAAGGAGGAAGAGGAATTAAAGAATTTTTAAATTCTATACTTTACATATCCCCCCCCCCCCCCGGTTTCCCACAAGAACACTTGCTATTGTATAAATAAGAACGTAAGGATCGGTAATTGCCAAATGACAAACATTAAAATGCGTATATGGCAAACTGCTGGCCGTGTAGACAGTGATTGCTATATCGGTCTGCCACTAAGACATTTTAGTTAATATATACTAAACCTGAGAAATAAAGGCTGTCGGTGGGATGTTAACCACATCACAAAACATATAGTTCTAGCCCTATGTGCCCATTACGCCCAAAGGCGTGGAAAAGGGTCCTTTACTTTTAAGGGTCGAAAAAATATTTGAACCTAGTTCGCTTACCAAGTTCCAATCAAAACAAGGGGTAAATTCGAGACTTCAGAATTTCACAGTACAACGATTTGAACAGTCTCATTCTAGTCGCCAAATAAAGTAAATAATTGACCTCCCCCCTCCCCTCTTACAAATGCACAAACTGGCTTCAGTATACAAAGATGATTTCTGGTGCATGTCGGTGCGCACATTGGTGCATCCGATAAGAAGACAGCTTGCTGGCACTTGGCTTTGAATGGCTGCTGTTTGCTACAGCGAAACTGAATGTTGACATATTTAGTTTTGTTTGAACACGGTAACCAGTTCTGAAAGAAAGTTGGTTGCAGGGGCGTAGAGCTTGGGGGCGCCCAATGAGCTGAAACCTTGTTTACGTCTGCAACAAAAGTAGCGATTTTCTGCTAAATGGCAAAAATCTTATACAGGTGTATCTCAGATGTTAGGAAAAGTGGAAACAAATACTTGAAAAGAGAGCGTCTATACGTGGTAGATGAACCACGTATGCCCCCTTCTCATGCCCTTCCGAAACTTCTAGGGTTTAATGTCCTCCTTCATAAAATTCATGTGTTTTTAATCGCCATCGATCACTGGCATCATGAGAGCTAAAAGACTGAAATGACCGGGGCACACTGAGAGAATGTCAGATGACAGAAAGTTAAAAACTGTGTACACAATGAAGATGACTTGTGGTAGACCACGAGGCAGATCAAAAAGACGATAGAGAAATAATATCCAGACAGACCTGCAAACACTTGGTGTCACCTGCTGAAAAGAGAAGGCTCACTACAGAGATGAATGGAAGAGGCTAATATCTGCAGAGCTCTTTAATTACCTTGTTTCCTGCATCGTTTCATAGATTCATTGGGTAGCGATACTCAAGTCTAGACTTCGCTGATAAGGACGGTGAGTCAGAAGCTCTGTTGTTCAGATGCGAGCGGGTAAAATTCCACGGTAGTTGAAAATCCCCAAGAGTAGGTATGCCATGGAACGATTGTTCTGGCAAGATTGACAGCTTGAGAGAAAACTCTTCCCACCGATACAGATCGGACGCTTTTTATTTACAGTGGAAGAACAAATGCATCTTGAGGGATTCAATATACTCACATTAATATTAAAAGTAAAAGATAAAAAAAAAAATTGTCAGAAGTGGGATTTGAACCCACGCCCACAAGAGTGGACTGCGACCTGAACGCAGCGCCTTAGACCGCTCGGCCATCCTGACACGATATTGACCATTTTACTATATCAAGTTACTGAAAAGAGTCATCACTGACAATTTTTTAAAGAAAACTCCCAGCTAGAGGATATTGTCTTCGTAAACCACCAGTATCTTAAAGAAAAGGAAAGACGAATAACACAAACAAGAGCATAATTTCACAGGATGAAGAATTTTCTCCAGCCAGAAACAGAATGCATCGGAACAAAGCTCCGGTCTGCTAGATAGGTACGATAAACAAATTAGTCCATCGACGTGTTCAAAATACATATTGAGCAAAGAGTTATACCTATATTTGAAAGACCAATCAACACTCGGTGGGGGGGGATGTGGTCAACACACGGACTGCCTTTACTTCCCAGGACTCTACCCGTTACCCACTTAAGGCTTTGTCGACCCATAAACTAAGGTCATTAAAAAAAAGCCCAACTCAGAATTTGAACTCAGGATCTTCAGATCTGCAGGCGAGCTACAACCCAGCAGGTAATAGTAACATTGCTCTCCCCATTTACACAGTGTTACACACTAGTTCACTTCTAATTGGTCGACCTTCAGTTTAGCACACTTCTGATTGGTCGACCTAGAGCCACCTCTCCTTGGCACAAGGGGACATGGATGCCTTTGATATCGCATGTTGTATATTTCAGCATGCCAGTGCTGTTAACACTCCAGAAACATCGACAAACTGGGTCTAACTCAAAACCCCTTTAGAAAGTGATGAAATCTATGTTATAGGCCTTCTCTTTCTCGGAATAAAAGCGCAAATGCAAAAACATCCCAGAAAGCAAACAACGAAGCTGCACACCCGTAACGTCTAGCGGTAGACCAGTCAAAGTTATAAATGGAACGTAACGTTTGTTTAAACCCCCAGCAATATTTAAGGGACCATTGATAAAAGGGGAGATACGACACAAGAATACTGTCAGGTATCCAGCTACATTAGACACAGCCCCATAAATACCCACTTTGATGTTCACCCACACGTAAGACAGATTTAGAGCTTTGAATATCAGAAATGTTGTAGTTTTAGACGTTTGCTTGAATAGTCAACATCATCAAACAGGTATAGTTTCAAACGTTGGCCTGAATAACTATCATCATGTAGCAAGTCTTTTACTGAAATACTCCAACCGGTTTGAACAGACACTATATTCCTTTATAATTATCGCCTCACATTTTTTATTGCGTCAGACGCACAGTGTGTGTCCTCTTAAAAAAGCAGTTCGTTAACTATCTTGTAATATACAGCTAAGGCGCGATAACGGCGCAGTGTTAGCAAATGCCTAACTAGTCGCCTTTTACGACATGTTGCCATTCGCAGTGTGCTCATTCTTGTTTCCCTGTCAAAATGAGGTGGCGGAACCCGTACGGTCTCTAGCGTCCAGAGTCCACTACGATGCTGGTCCATCCCTGCCTCTCAGAAGCCGTGCCTTTCATTCAATGACGCCAAAACACAGAGGTTAGGACCCCTGACCCCTCCCCCATTTTTTTCAGGCGTGGACTAAACAGCCTTCCCCTGGCTCTCGCAGGCGCGGGCTAAACACCCTTCCCCTGGCTCTATCAGGCGTGGACTAAACACCCTTCCCCTGGCTCTATCAGGCGTGGACTAAACACCCTTCCCCTGGCTCTCGCAGGCGAGGGCTAAACACCCTTCCCCTGTCTCTCGCAGGCGCGGGATAAACACCCTTCCCCTGGCTCTATCAGGCGTGGACTAAACACCCTTCCCCTGGCTCTCGCAGGCGTGGGCTAAACACCCTTCCCCTGGCTCTCGCAGGCGCGGGATAAACACCCTTCCCCTGGCTTTCGCGGGGTAAACACCCTTGGCTCTCGCTACCCACCCTCCCCCTGGCTCTCGCAGGCGTGGGCTAAACACCCTTCCCCTGGCTCTCGCAGGCGCGGGATAAACACCCTTCCCCTGGCTCTCGCAGGCGCGGGATAAACACCCTTCCCCTGGCTCTCGCAGGCGTGGGCTAAACACCCTTCCCCTGGCTCTCGCAGGCGCGGGCTAAACACCCTTGCCCTGGCTCTCGCAGGCGTGGGCTAAACACCCTTCCCCTGGCTCTCGCAGGCGTGGGCTAAACACCCTTCCCCTGGCTCTCGCAGGCGTGGGCTAAACACCCTTCCCCTGGCTCTCGCAGGCGTGGGATAAACACCCTTCCCCTGGCTCTCGGTAATCTTTAAGAAGCACAGCACTCCCACCCCCCAATAATGTATAGACGCGCTCTTTTTAAGTATGACCAAACCATTTGATCTTCTGTGTCTCAGTATTTGTTGAATTAATCAAGTAACAGAAAGTATTGTGAACGGCACTCATAGAAAGAAGTAGAAAGATAACACACTAGAGGTAGTCGTTGATATAAATATTCTGTTTTTAAATCTGTTCTTGGCGGTCATAGCTATGTTTTAAACACACTAGTGTGTATATAATGCACTAAAAATCGAAAGCTATAGTTACCGTGCCGGGAATTCCATAGTCGTGGATTTCAAGCTGTACGATAGACATGGCCAATGAGACACCTTTTTTTTGGGGGGTGCCGAGTTGACCATGTATCTTAGTGCACTTGTATTCATGGCGAAGCGCAGACGCCGTCTGGAGGTGACAGCGTCTAACCGCTACACCACGGCGGCTTTCATTATCTGCATGACCTGTGTTCAATCATGAGTTAACCAGGATTTCATTCTATTTACCAGAGTCCGAAATCGGCAATGCAGCAAGAGTTGCTGGAGAAACCAGACAAGGATCCGAATGTTGAAACCGAGAACGTGGGCCTGAAGAGAAATGTTGGTCTCATTTCTGGAATAGCTCTTATCATTGGAACAATGATTGGTGAGTACGGCTGGAACAATGATATATTAGTACAGTTAGAACAATGATTGGTGAGTATGGCTGGAACAATGATATATTAGTACAGTTAGAACAATGATTGGTGAGTATGGCTGGAACAATGATATATTAGTACGGTTAGAGTAATGATTGGTGAGTATGGCTGGAACAATGATATATTAGTACAGTTAGAACAATGATTGGTGAGTATGGCTGGAACAATGATATATTAGTACAGTTAGAACAATGATGGGTGAGTATGGCTGGAACAATGATATATTAGTACGGTTAGAGTAATGATTGGTGAGTATGGCTGGAACAATGATATATTAGTACAGTTAGAGTAATGATTGGTGAATACGGCTGGAACAATGATATATTAGTACAGTTAGAGTAATGATTGGTGAGTATGGCTGGAACAATGATATATTAGTACAGTTAGAGTAATGATTGGTGAATACGGCTGGAACAATGATATATTAGTACAGTTAGAGTAATGATTGGTGAGTATGGCTGGAACAATGATATATTAGTACAGTTAGAGTAATGATTGGTGAATACGGCTGGAACAATGATATATTAGTACAGTTAGAGTAATGATTGGTGAATACGACTGGAACAATGATATATTAGTACAGTTAGAGTAATGATTGGTGAATACGGCTGGAACAATGATATATTAGTACAGTTAGAGTAATAATTGGTGAATACGGATGGAACAATGATATATTAATACAGTTAGAGTAATGATTGGTGAATAAGGATGGAACAATTATATATTAGTACAGTTAGAGTAATGATTGGTGAATACGGCTAGAACAATGGTATATTAGTACAGTTAGAGTAATGATTTGTGAATACGACTGGAACAATGAAAGATGAGTTCAGTGAGAACAATGATTGACGACTGTTACTGAGCATTAACGGTGGAGTTCACTTGTAGCAGTGAAAAGTAAATACAACTGGAGCAGTGAAAAGTAAATACAACTGGAGCATGACACACGAGTAAAACAGGTACAATGATAAGTTGGTAAAACTGATACAATGATAAGTAGCAAAAAAACTAGTACAGTGATCAGTAGATAAAACTGGTACAATTATAACATGGCCTTTCAAATGCCCATGGATCTGAAAAGAAAATAACGGGACTAGTAAACAATCACTTATCCAATATGCTACATATTAATTACTTTCTTTTTCTTCAAAATTGCTTTTTATTTCGTCATATAGGATCTGGAATTTTCATAAGTCCCAAAGGAATGTTCGAGGGATGTGGTTCTGTTGGGCTGACCTTGACATTGTGGTGTGCCTGTGGTTTGCTGACAACAATGGGTAAGGTCTGGTCCTCTATCAACCAGCATCTAAGATTTGAACATTCTTATTTGGTTGACGGTGGGGTTTAGTTTTTTTTTTAAATTTAGGATTGTTCTTGCAGAGGAAAGTGTGACAGATTTACTGTAAAAGGTCAGCGCCTGACAAAGAAGACACCTGATCTCATGCTTAAGAAAGAACCTACCCCAGACTGAAGAGCGAGCCCACCCCAGACTGAAGAGGGAACCTACCTAAAACTAAATAGCGAACCTACCCCAGACTGAAGAGAGAACCTGCCTAAAACTAAATAGCGAACCTACCCCAGACTGAAGAGAGAACCTGTCTAAAACTAAATAGCGAACCTACCCCAGACTGAAGAGAGAACCTACCTCAAACTCAAGGAGTCATCTGTCACAGACTCAAGGAGCCATCTCTCAGAGACTCAAGGAGTCATCTGTCACAGACTCAAGGAGCCATCTCTCAGAGACTCAAGGAGACATCTGTCACAGACTCAAGGAGCCATCTGTTACAGACTCAAGGAGCCATCTCTCAGAGACTCAAGGAGCCATCTCTCAGAAACCCAAGGAGTCATCTGTTACAGACTCAAGGAGCCATCTCTCAGAGACTCAAGGAGCCATCTGTTACAGACTCAATGAGCCATCTCTCAGAGACTCAAGGAGCCATTTCTCAGAGACTCAAGGAGCCATCTGTTACAGACTCAAGGAGCCATCTCTCACAGACTCAAGAAGCCATCTGTTACAGACTCAAAGAGGGAAAGTAGGTAGGTATGTGAGTCAGTCTAAAGGAGGCATCTGTGTCAGTCTGAAGGAGGCATCTGTGTCAGTCTGAAGGAGGCATCTGTGTCAGTCTGAAGGAATCACCTGGATCTGACGACAGTAGCCCAGATCTGCCCTGGATGTCTGTGCTGGAGGCAGAGTGCGTTTTGATCAGTAGAAACGGTGACCTAGTCAGGTCAGCATATCTGTCCAACAGGTCATGTCAAACTTTGTTTTGTATACATCAGTGTATCGTGAAAACATCGATCTAGTCACTTTAGTGTGTGTATCCCAAGTTATGACGAACGCGTTTTATGGTAATCAGCATTGAATCTGGAAAGTGAATGAATAAATTAAGAAAAGCCTATAGACCGGTAGGCTATGGTTTCTCAGACAGATGCCGTATATATTTTAAACGACCAGTGAAACCCTCTTGCAGCTTTCAAATAATTTCTCACAAATTCACTGATTAATCCGTGATTCCCTCCCGCAGACTGTGAAAGATTTCTCTACAAGTTAATTATTTATGTATTTGTTGTTAAAATGTAATTGAAGCGTTGTTCGCGTGTGTTCTATGGTAGTGACAGTGTTCTATCTGTAGCGTTTATTTATGTGTAATTGTGTAAAGCCGACTCAGTGGTGAGGCTTGCATGTAGAGCTGTAATTGCCGCTTACCTTTTAATTGTGTTATTTATTATTTTATTACCTATTATTACTTTCTCCAATGAATTACAAATACACTACTTGGTTTATGCCCCGTAGAGTACGTCACGCTTCTTAAGAGTGTAAACGTAGCGCAAAGAACGGTCCATGCATGCTTACGTGTCTCGTAAAAACTGTATCTTCTGAAAGCTACCAGTTACCAGTACTTAGATACTAACTTGCGCACGCAGTCTCTCAACATCAAAGCAACGAGCAGGAAAATATCACGTGATGCCCTTTCTAGTGTAATCGTTACTTGCTAAAGCATACACGCGCCAACCGAGCACGCCAGGCTTGTTAAGAATGTTAACGAAGCAAAAAGAACGCTTACCGCAAGCGTAAATCACTCATTAAAAAGCCGGTAACGTGTGAAAGCTACCAGTTACCAGTGCTTCGATACTAGCTGCGTACGCATTCTCTCAACAGCGAAGCCACGAGTATCACGCAATAACCTCTCTAGTGTAATCGTTACCTACTAAAGCTTACGCGTCCGATTTGAACACGCCTCGTCCCTAGCCAGTTCTACTTCGTTTTTTTTTCTTCACATGTCACTTCCAACCACCAGGACCGTTTCTCTACTGTAGTCTTGTAATTACAGGTGCACTGGTGTATGCAGAACTCGGCACGATGGTTCCAGAATCCGGTGGCGAGCACGCCTACCTCATGTACACCTTCAACAGAAATCGCGGAGGCAAGCCCAAGCGTCTTTGCATTAAAGGATCCCGATCGTTCTCCCGTGCTCCAGCATTCCTCTACGACTGGGTGGCGCTCTTCATCATTCGACCCACCATGTTCGCCATCATGGCTTTGGCCTTGGGCACGTACGCGGTGAAACCGTTCTACCCCAGCTGTGACCCTCCGTCCATTGTGGTCAAACTAGTGACCGCCGTGGCTATGAGTAAGTACATGTTGGCACCTCTCCGTCTCTTCAGATGTTAGTATTCTGTTGTTCTGACAGGTGTCAAGACTACCACCAAATAGTGCGCCGCAGCGAGCCATTTCACTTAGCAGTAATGGAAACCCTAGAGGTCCACAACGTAAGCTATGGATAGATAAAATATCTACGTAGCTGATGCCTTGGTCTCTGGCGATGCGTTTCCAATAGCTGACACTGGATGGCAGAAGAGGAATAGAGAAGAAGAAGAAGAAGAAGAAGAAGAAGAAGAAGAAGAAGAAGAAGAAGAAGAAGAAGAAGAAGAAGAAGAAGAAGAAAAGAAGAAGAAGAAGAAGAAGAAGAAGAAGAAGAAGAAGAAAAAGAAGAAGAAGAAGAAAAAGAAGAAGAAAAGAAGAAGAAGAAGAAGAAGAAGAAGAAGAAGAAGAAGAAGAAGAAGAAGAAAAGAAGAAGAAGAAGAAGAAGAAGAAGAAGAAGAAGAAGAAGAAGAAGAAGAAGAAGAAGAAGAAGAAGAAGAAGAAGAAGAAGACTGAAGAATAAGAAGAAAGAAGAAAGAAGAAGAAGAAGAAGAAGAAGAAGAAGAAGAAGAAGAAGAAGAAGAAGAAGAAGAAGAAGAAGATGAAGAAGAAGAAGAAGAAGAAAGAAGAAGAAGAAGAAGAAGAAGAAGAAAGAAGAAGAAGAAGAAGAAGAAAGAAGAAGAAGAAAAGAAGAAGAAGAAGAAGAAGAAGAAGAAGAAGAAGAAGAAGAAGAAGAAGAAAGAAGAAGAAGAAGAAAAAGAAGAAGAAGAAGAAAAAGAAGAAAGAAGAAAAAAAGAAGAAGAAGAAGAAGAAGAAGAAGAAGAAGAAGAAGAAGAAGAGAAGAAGAAAGAAGAAGAAGAAGAAAAGAAGAAGAAGAAGAAGAAGAAAGAAAAGAAGAAGAAGAAGAAGAAGAAGAAGAAGAAGAAGAAGAAGAAGAAGAAGAAGAAGAAGATAAGAAGAACAAGAAGAAGAAGAAGAAGAAGAAGAAGAAGAAGAAGAAGAAGAAGAAGACAGAAGAAGAAGAAGAAGAAGAAGAAGAAGAAGAAGAAGAAGAAGAAGAAGAAGAAAGAAGAAGAAGTCCTGTAAGAAGAAAAGAAGGAAGAAGAAGAAGAAGAAGAAGAAGAAGAAGAAGAAGAAGAGAAGAAGAAGAAGAAGAAGAAGATGAAGAAGAAGAAGAAGAAGAAGAAGAAGAAGAAGAGAAGAAGAAGAAAGAAAAGAAGAAGAAGAAGAAGAAGAATAAGAAGAAGAAGAAGAAGAAGAAGAAGAAGAAAGAAAAAGAAGAAGAAGAAAGAAAGTGGAAGAAGAGAAGAAAGAAGAAAAAGAAAGAAGAAATAAGAAGAATAGAAGAAGAAGAAGAAGAAGAAGAAGAAGAAGAAGAAGAAAAGAAGAAGAAGAAGAAGAAGAAGAAGAAGAAGAAGAAGGAAAGGAGGATGAGGATGTCGAGCAGCAGCAACTTCAGGAGCAAGAGGCGACATGTAATTTCTTAATTCTATGACTCCTGTTTTGTTCAAAGCCTTTCTTGAATGACTCCTTTTGTTTAAAGGTTTTCTTCTATGGCTATGTTTTTGTTTGTTTAAATGTGTTTTATGTGACCTATTCTGTGTGTAAAGCCTTTCTTCTTCTATGACTCCTGTTCTGTTTACAGCATTTCTTGTAAAACTCTTTGTCTGTCTGTTTAAAGCAAACAGTAATCAATGAACCGGACCTTTTCTTGCAGGCATTATTGCAGCCATCAACATTATCTCTGTGAGAGCAGCAACGCTGGTGCAGAACATCACAACCTTCACTAAGTTAATTGCTTTGGGGATCATTAGCATTGGTGGCATTGTCATGATTTGTAAAGGTTTGTCACTTTCTGAATCACATTACGTCCTGCCCGTTGTACCCACATGTATACGATTGCTTATGGTATGGAAGTTTATTACGATTTTTCTTTTATGAAATGGATAATTAGTTATTTTGCTTCTTACAGATTTCGTTTCTCCATGTCATCGTTGTATTTGTCGTGGTTTCTTTCATGTGATCGATGAGTGAAGGTTTCTCCAATGTCATGGTTTCTTCCACGTCAAGGTTTCTCAAGTGTCATGGCTAAGTCATGGATTCTCCAATGTCATGGCTTCTTGCATGTTATGGCTGAGTCATAGTTTCTCCCATGTCATGGTTTCTTCCACGTCAAGGTTTCTCCAGTGTCATGGCTGAGTCATGGGTTCTCCAATGTCATGGTTTCTTCCACGTCAAGGTTTCTCCAGTGTCATGGCTGAGTCATGGTTTCTCCAGTGTCATGGCTGAGTCATGGTTTCTCCAGTGTCATGGCTGAGTCATTGTTTCTTAAATGTCATGGTTGAGTCATGGTTTCTCCATGTCATGGCTGAGTCATGGTTTCTCCAGTGTCATGGCTGAGTCAGGGTTTCTTCAATGTCATGGCTGAGTCATGGTTTCTCCAATGTCATGACTGAGTCATGGTTTCTCCAATGTCATGACTGAGTCATGGTTTCTCCAATGTCATGGCTGAGTCATGGTTTCTCCAATGTCATGGCTGAGTCATGGTTTCTCTAATGTCATGGCTAAGTCATGGTTTCTCCAGTGTCATGGCTGAGTCATGGTTTCTCCAGTGTCATGGCTGAGTCATGGTTTCTTAAATGTCATGGGTGAGTCATGGTTTCTCTAATGTCATGGATTAGTCATGGTTTCTCCAATGTCATGGCTGAGTCATGGTTTCTCCAATGTCATGGCGGAGTCATGGTTTCTCCAATGTCATGGCTGAGTCATGGTTTCTCCAATGTCATGGCTGAGTCATGGTTTCTCCAATGTCATGGCTGAGTCATGATTTCTCCAATGTCATGGTTTCTTCCACGTCAAGGTTTCTCCAGTGTCATGGCTGAGTCATGGTTTCTTCCATCTGATGACTGAATCATGGTTTCTCTCATGTCATGGCTTCTCGCAAGTTATGGCCGAGTCATAGTTTCTCTCATGTCATGGTTTAATATATGTCCTGGCTGAGTCATAGTTTCTCTCATGTCATGGTTTAATATATGTCCTGGCTGAGTCATAGTTTCTCACATATCATGGTTTATTATATGTCATGGCTGAGTCATAGTTTCTCCCATGTCATGGTTTATTATATGTCATGGCTGAGTCATAGTTTCTCCCATGTCATGACGGCGTCTGTTAACAGTTTCATCATCATGTTGTCACCTGCAGGCAGCACAGAATACATCTCAGAAGGGTTCCAGGACACCAACAACGACCCCCAGAAAGTGGCTATAGCCTTCTACAACGGACTCTGGGCCTTTGATGGCTGGTAGGTAATATGGCAATAACAACAACATCTCCTTAGATACTGACATAGTGTTTACTGACAGCACCTCATGTTACACTGACATCTTATGTGACAATGACGTAATTTCACGTGACAACAATAGCGTCTTATGTTACAGTGACATCTTGTCATGTCACAGTGACAACATATTGTGTGACACTGGCAACATTTCATATCACAATGATGGCATCTCAAAAAACACTGGCAACATCTTATGTGTCAGTGACAACATCTTATGTGTCAGTGACAACATCACATATGTGTCAGTGACAACATCTCATGTGTCAGTGACAACATCTTATGTGTCAGTGATAACATCTCATGTGTCAGTGACAACATCTTCTGTGTCAGCGACAACATCTTATGTGTCAGTGACAACATCTCATGTGTCAGCGAAAACATCTTATGTGTCAGTGACAACATCTCATGTGTCAGTGACAACATCTCATGTGTCAGTGATAATATCTCATGTGTCAGTGACAACATCTTCTGTGTCAGTGACAACATCTTCTGTGTCAGTGACAACCTTTTCTGTTTCAGTGACAACATCTTCTGTGTCAGTGACAACATTTTATGTGTCAGTGACAACATTTCATGTGTCAGTGACAACATCTTATGTGTCAGTGACAACATCTCATGTGTCAGTAACAACATGTGGCGCGGTGATTTCGGTCACAGGCATGAGGGGAAGTTAAGTCTGATGTGATGTGTATAAGGAGATATTCCGTACCCCACTCGGGCGCCAGTCCTTCACTGTTCTGGTTTTACGGAACCTCATGCAAGACTCCTGTTGCACGTCCCCGTCGTGCGCCACGGATAATGTCTCAAATGAGCATTAACAGAGTTGACAGGGGATCTCGGAGCTGGCGGCCCCTAGAGGTGTAGAGTCCTTTCTGGCTCTCACCAGCCCGCCCCCAAACGCATGGGTGAAAAGTAACAAAACTCAAGGACTGCTTGCTAAATGTACCATCAAATGACAACTCTTGGTTAAAATTCGGGAGCGAATGGAAAACTGTGCTGCTGAGACTCAACCCTGACGAGAGATTTACCCGCAGCCAAGACGAGTAACATCTCTTGTGGGCGACTTCTCGCAGCAAGATCCCACCCACGTACATCCTCTGTCAATCCTCAGTGTCGTCGTCACCGCGCTGAGGTACACCATGGCAGCAACTATTCATATGCTGGCTTGAAAACAATGTCCGACAAAGTTACACCCCACGGCACACATGCAAGCTCAAAGTCTGACGATCATAACTCGTACCGATTAGGAAAACTCTGAATGTCCGTATCCACTGGTCCAACTCGCCCGAGTGTTGGGACCAAACAGGTGAAGCCACGCCTGACGCATTTTGCTTCCCCATTCTGTCGTGCTAAGGGCACAGCTGAAACAACGTTAAAGGTGTCTAACGTAAGATGAAAAAGAATGTACCTATTTGTGTGGCCACAAACGTCCTAGACCTGCGGGCTGCTCCCCGCTGATCTCCGGAGAGCGCAGCCTTGTAGCGCGGGAAGCTCAATACACGGTTGTAAGGTTAAGCAGTCATGGGCAGGACGTGACGATTCCTTGGGTGAGCCCAGAACCAGAGCATCATGTGTCGGCTCTGCATTTATGGAAGCCTCCTTGGATGGCGGGGAATGCCAATGATCTGCCCCTGCCTTCCCTTGAGGGCTAAAAACTCTACATAGTGCTGCCTTAAGGACGACATGCCGGGGGCCACACTTGTTAAAAGTCAAAGAGGACACCACACAAATAAGGCAACATCTCGACCCACACAAAACAATGGCCACAGTCAACCTAGAAATAGGCTTGACGTCTTCCTCCGAAGTCGGAGTACATCTGCCGGAGAGGCGGGGAACGAGTACTGCAAACAAATAAGCCAGTAAAACGGATGTACACCCAAAACTCAGGTCAAGGTAAAAGCCACAAGTCCATTTTGGACGAACAACCGTGACTTACCGCCGGAATTCACAGCCGGTGAACAAGAAGAAGAAGAGTAACAACATCTCATGTGTCAGTGATAATATCTCATGTGTCAGTGACAACATCTTCTGTGTCAGTGACAACCTTTTCTGTGTCAGTGACAACATCTTCTGTGTTAGTGACAACATTTTATGTGTCAGTGATAACATTTTCTGTGTCAGTGACAACATCTTCTGTGTCAGTGATAACGTCTCATCTGTCAGTGCAACATCTTTTGTGTCAGTGACATCATCTTCTGTGTCAGTGACAACATCTTCTGTGTCAGTGACAACATCTCCTGTGACTAAGAAAGCACCCAGACCCATTGCCATCCCACTATGCATGTCGTAAAAGTCGACTAATTAGCAATGTTTCCTCTAAAGTTAGAGTGCATCTGCCTGAGAGGCGAGGAACCAACAGTCTGTAAATAAGCCAGACCTGTAAAACAGATGTTCACAAAGATTTTAAGTTATGTGACAAAATTAAAGTCCGGAACTAGAAGAACAACCAGAACTTTCTGCCAGAGTTTACAGCCGTTGAATGCCAAGAAGAATAAAGAGGTTTAACATATTTTAATGACTTGTATCAGTCTTAGCTCAATATTTTATTTCTTCCATTTGAATAGGGGAAAAAAATTCTTTAAATTTTATTTTACGAAATTTCACATCTAGTGTTTTTTTTTCTTTTGGTGTGTCAAGATGAAGAGATAACATTATTAACGTTATTTAAGTTTCGGTGCTCTTTGAACTTCGGTTTGTTTTAATTTTTGCTAATTATGAAATATATGGCTTGCAGAAATGTTGACTAAAATATATCATTGATATATTTAGTGTTGAAAGCAGTTCACAAAGATGACCAACATTTTGTTCCCCAGGAATAGTTTAAACTTTATTACAGAAGAGCTGAAGAACCCAACAAAGTAAGTTTTGTTTTTCACATCTAAATGACCGTTATCTTCTTCTTCTGTGTGTGTGTGTGTTTGTGTGTTTGTGTGTGTGTGTGTTTGTGTGTGTGTGTAGTGTGTGTGTGTGGTGTGTGTGGTGTGTGTGTGTGTGTGTGGTCTAAACATTTGATTGCAGTAATGCACACATCTCTTTTCAATCTTTCTGTCAAAGTATTATTACAATAATGCATGGCTATTTTTTCCCCGTAATAAACTGTCTTACTGATTTGGTTTCTGTAAAACCATGTTACATAAATGTAAGAACATTTCTTTTTTTCAATAAAACCATGTTATTTATATGTATGACCATTTTTTATTTCTCTAAATTCATGTTATATATATATATATATATGGCCAATCTTATTCCTGTAAAACCATGCTACACATATGTATGACTATCTTCTATTTCTGTAAAAGTGTTGCATATATCTATGATTATTTCTTATTTGATTATTTTTTCCGTAAAATCATGTTACTTATATGTATGGCCATTTTGTATTTCTGTGAAACCAGGTTACATATATCTATTACCATTCTTATTTCTGTAAAAATATGTCAGATTTTAATATGACCATTACCGTCTACTGTAAAACGCTCCCACGTCAGTTCTGGGGTCATTTTTGAGGAAAAAGGAATAGGCTAGCATGTCGTAAAAGGCTACTAATTAGAATTTTTCCACCTTCAATTGTCTTATAGTCGAGGAAGCTAACATCTGCGCACACAAAAGCCAGATATATTTAGCTGAGGTTCACGCAAAACAACTCAAATTCTGGAAGAAGAGTGAAATCAGGAAGTGGACGAACAACCAGAACTTCTTGCCCGATTTTAGAGCCGGTGAACAATAATAAGAAAAGAATAATCAGAACTGGCCGCCGGAGTTTGCAGCCTGTAAACTCTGACCTGAAGAAACTATGTTGGCTATACATATGACCATCTATTCTCATCTCTACCACATACTCATTCTCACACACACACACATCACCAACAAACATACATATCATAATCATCATCATCATAAGCCATTTCTGCCGTTAAACGACGTGGGGAGAAATAATTTGGGATCCAGTGCACATTGGCTGCCACTGGCTATTGTCATGCCGTAATGGTGTAGAGTATCTTTAATGTTGTTGATCCATTTTTTCCTCGGCCGTCCTCTTGCTCTTGTAGTTGATCTTCTGAGATGTAGTGCTTATGATGGTATTTGATCTTGCGGCATTCTAACGAGATGGCCAAACCACATGATCTGCTGTTTCTCGGTGAATCTAGTACAGTTGGTAATTTTGCGTATATGGGCTTTAGATAGTGTCCATGTTTGGCACTAGTAGCTTAATGTTGGAATGAATATGTTATTAATAATCTGTCTCTTTGCACTCATAGTTATGCTTGGATGTCTTAAAAATGGTGATAATTGGTATATAAGTGAACTTGCTTTCTGACATCTGGTTTCTATTTCTCTGTCAATTCTATCATCTTAAAAAAAAAAAAAAAAAAACATACACATAATTAGTCTAAAATGATTGTGTGGGAGTTTGTATGAACAGTATCCACAAACCGGTTGTAAAACATGCACTCTTTAATAAATTAAGTGGGCTAGAAATTTATGGCATAATTCACGATTAATGTATGCAAGATGGTTGTAAGGATCTGGTGTGTTTGTTTTAGTATCCAGAAGCCATGAGTTATTGACCCTTCAGCTCGGTATTATGGATATCGCAACCTTTCGGCTTTGATTCCATGATAAATACCGTAAATCTGGGAGAAAATGTGGCTTTTCTGCCCACCCCCGTTAGTGAACCCGGACCACAAGGAGTTCGTCACCCGCTCACTGTGTAATCCGGTTTAGCCAACTACGCTAGAGAGACGGGCTAAGGATCTGATGAACGAGAAGGCAATCAACAAACAAGAGTTAATCAAACAAGCCCAGTAATTGTCCTGGGAGGCCGAGTCGCTGGCTGTCACAGCTTGACTGCTGCTACTTTAGTTTCTGCTAGATCCATTTTTGTACTGCTGCAGCTGTTGTTACAAGTGTCACTGTGTTCCAGATTTTATAACATAGTAGAGAGCTATCGCTACACAGGACTGACATGTACACTGTCATTGAAAAACTGTCAGACTGCTTGTATGTACCACAAGTGCGATACCATAAGTGCGATACCATAAGTGCGGTACCACAAGTGCAATACCACAAATGAGGTACCACAAATGCAATACCACAAATGAGGTACCACAAGTGCAATACCACAAATGAGGTACCACAAGTGCAGTCAACGGGCCGTAGGGCTAGTACAGTCGCCACAGACTTTACAAACATGAATTTTAATTTGGCTCCGAAATTAAAGAACCCTTAAACTTATCAAGGATTTGAACCTCCATCTCATGTCACCCCACCATTCTTATCCCTTCCGCCAGCCGACCCTCTCATTAAAAATTTTCTAAAAGAAGATAGTAACTTTTGGGAGTGATGCTATTCTTCTGAAAGTTCAAGCCGTGTGGAGTAATTTATGCCATTATCGGATGCAAACACTGAGCGGCATTAAACGAAAGAAGCTAAACGCATTATTTAAGTTGACATAATGTGGACACAAACGATAGACTGTACAATTGATTACGTGAAATATTTCAATTGTGATTCGCCGTGGCGTTGCTAGACCCACCTGCAGATCGGAAAGTGGCGGGTTCGCGTCCTGGCGGAGCCAGACTTTAAAAAAAAATTACCCAGACTCCCAGGTAGACCCAGTCTTGAGTGGGTGCCAGGTGCAGTCAGGGAAATAAAGGCGGCCGGCGTGATGCTTATCACATCATATACCAAGTGTCGATTAGTCTATAAAAATTAAGGTCTAGCCCTATATTCCCAATACGCTTAAAGACGTGGAAAAGAGATCTTATATTTCAATATAATTTATCAGTTTGCCATTTATTGACTTTATTAGAATCAACTGTTTCTGTGTTAAACACTTGAGGGGAAAGCAGCTGAACATATCAGGCAATAAACTGCGCAATCTTTAGTTTGTGTCTTCTTTGTTTCAATCATTTACCTCTTTGTGACATCGGAACCGCACCAACAGTTTTTATACAATGGAACAAGAGGCACGGGGAGGAGGCTAGAACTTCAACATGTCATATTTCCATAGTTCGATGCGGATCCTTGCAGTCAAACTTTGTTGAAGAGACAGCACAATCCTTACTTCTTTTTCTTCTTCTTCTTTTAGATTATATCTGCAATGTTGTCTCTAGTATGAAATTCACTGACTTTTGTAATTCACTCAGTGATCCGTAACGTTTGACCTGCACCAATTCCTAATGTTGTAAATTTAAATGTGATATTATGTTCAATCAACTATATTGTATGGTAAATATATGATCTTCTTCCTTGACTGATTGTCAGGAATCTGCCTCTTGCTATCATGATTGGAATCCCACTGACGACTGTCTGCTATGTCCTGGCAAATATCGGATACCTGGCTGTCATGTCCAAGGAAGAAATCATGCTGTCTCACGCAGTGGCTGTTGTAAGTATGGTGTATTCATGAATTTGATGGCTGTCTGTTGTATTCTAGCAAATGTTGCATATCCGGCTCTCGTGTTCTGGCAAATGCTGTACATCTGGTTCTCCTGTCATGACAAATGTTGGATGCTTGGCTCTCATGTCCCAAGAAATGTTGGACATCTGGCTGTCATAATATGGCAAACGTTGGACGCATTTAACGTCCTGACAGTTGTTCTATACAAGGCTCTCATTTCATGACAAGAATGAATGAATTTTTACCCCACCAGGACATCACACAAGCGATAAACACCCGATGACACAAAGTACCACCATGTGGATGAGGATCGCCGTGGAGAGGTCCCGGAAACCGCGTTCAGACAATTGGCCATGTTTATGGCCTGCCTATATTGCGGCCACTGGCAAAAGCCAGAGTGGGGCTTCAAATAACAAAAAATTACGTCCTGAAAAGGACGTAATTGTATCATAATCAATTCATGACAAGAGCTGGATACCTGGCTTTCATGTCCAAAGTTGTCGAACACAAACCGGTGCAAAATTCATGAATGAAAATGCAGTCTGTGGATTATATATATATATCAATTATAAACACAATTATTGTGTTGCATGTTCCAGAGTCCGCCAACCAGACTATCACTTTATCTAGGCATAAATAGTTAAACAATTAACCATAATAGACACGTGCTCTTTCTATTTTCTTTCTTATCCATTTAGCCAAACTAAGCCATTGCAAGGGTTACAGCTAGTTTATATATATATATATATATATATATATATATATATATATATATATATATATATATATATATATATATATATATATATATATCTTTTATTGCAGACATGGGGCGATCGAATGCTTGGTGTTGTGGCGTGGCTGATTCCATGTTTTGTGATTGCATCTACGTTTGGTTCTTGCAATGGCTGCCTCTTCTCTTCCGGAAGGTAAATTATTTCACAAATCACATTTTATTGTGCCAAAAGACATTGCTATAGATATATAGTTTTTTCTTTGATTAGAGCAATGTTGTTTTCTGTGCAATGATACAATGGCTGCATTCATTTTCATAAAACGTTGAAAGCGATAAGACTGTAGAAGATAGAATCTATAGAATATCCCAGGAAGTATTAGTATGTATCATGGAAGAAGTATGGCACTTATCAATTTTGAGGGGCAAAAAAATGACAGAAACATTTTGACATAGAAGACATTGGAGACTTATTTATCTTCTCTCTCCCACCCCTCCCCCCCCTTTTTTTTTTCAACGGATCAACATCATGCCACAAGGGTAGTAACCAGTAAGTGCTCCGTTCTACTTCTAAATCAAGCCTGAATCTGAAGAATCTCAGCCCAGTGCACGAATGCACTAGCACCGGATCCTGAAATACTTTGGGCAGATTTTTCACTCCTATTTTTGCCCTGGCAGAGCGGTTAGGCCACTCTTTTCGATATCCAATTATTAAGAAAGTTTTTACGTTCGCAACAATACACACGGGCGTTCGATCTTACTACCCAGAGACCTGGAGAAATTACTCGAAGTCCACGTGAACAAATCCCAGCCTTCAGCATGGCCGGAACCTCCAGCACTGGAGGTGGATGCTATGCATTGAGACCAATTAGCCCCAAGACTTTGGAGACTGGCTTTTTATTACAAACGAACGTTAACACTAAAGATCTTGAATACAGAGTGTTCTTTGACACCAAAGATCTTTAACACTAACGGATGTTAACACAAAAGATCTTTAATACTAACGAACGTTAACACCAAAGATTTATAGATATGGAAGTTATGCACATATCCCACGGAGTGGTTATGAACCCTCCCCCCCCCTCCCATACAGACACGCACCCACTCATCCTCCCGACCGCCCGAAAACCCACCAGCCCACACGCACACACCGCCCACACACACACCTCAAACACCCCCAACACACACCCCTCCCACGCGACCACACCCCCACATACACACCCCCACACCTCCCCCACATAACCCCTCAACCCCCCCCCCCCACACACACAACCCCCACACACACCCCACCTCTCATAGACACCCCCACGCACACACCCACCCGCAATACCCTTCAAACAACCCCCCCCACCCCCACCCCCCCCCCCCCCACACACACCCACACACACCCGCAATCCCCCCTCAAACAACCCCCTACACCCTCACACACACCCACACACACCCCCACATACACCCCCTCACACCCCCATACATACCCCCACACACACCCCACACTCCCCAAACACCCCCCATACACACTACACCCCACACACCTTCTACACACACCCCACATCCCACACACACACCCGTACACAACCCCACACCCCCATACACCCCTACACAACCCAACACATACCCCACACCCCCCCACCACACACACACACACACACACGTCATACCCACCACACCCCCACACACCCCACCCCCACACACATCCACCCACCCTTCACACACACACACCCCAGACACACCCCCAGACACACCCCACACACACACACACATCGCACACACCACACACATCCCCACACACACGCCCCCCCCACACACACACCGCACACACCACACACACACACATTGATAACAATGAGGGGATGAATTAGTCACGTGGGGTAGTTAACTCTGTGAGGTTCCAGCATTTATCGTCTTCTTTTGTTATTTGACTCTGATTTATGTGGCTGGTTTTATCCAAGTAGTTCGTGTTAAAGGCACTTAGTATTTCTCTTTGTGGCCTCCTAATAATATTGATAATACATACGGAATCTCTGACATGGAGAACAAGCAGACAAAGAGTTACTTACATACCGAACGTAGTCATATAGACAACAGTCAGCACATCCGTTGTTCACTCTACTGACAGCAACAATGGTCACGTGCCAGGACACTTGAAGTGTCACGTGATATTTCTCCTCGTCGCATTGCTGTTGAGAGTATGCGCGCACAGTTGGTATTGTAGGACTCATAATTGGTAGCTTTCGGACATTACAGTTTCCACATGAGTAGCGTTAGCATGCAGCGAGCCCACTTTTGGCAATGTTCATTCTCTCAGCATGGGTGATTTGTTTACAAGACGTCAACCGAGTGGCGGAATTATAACAAACATTAAACAACAATAACAGATTGTAAAATAATTATTTCTCTTTGGCAGTGGCACATGTGATGTGCGATCAACAACCGTTACATGCACTCTTAGACACTGGACAGCAACCTGTATCCCTGACAGTGTAAATGACGCTCTAAACTTTTATATCTTCCAGACTGAGCTTCTCTGCTGGACGAGATGGTCATTTCCCCAAGTTCCTGTCCTTTCTACAGATTGACCGCAACACACCGATGCCAGCTGTTCTGTTCACTGTAAGTTCTAACATAGTGCATATTCAACAGATGCTTCACTCAGTCAATCCCTATAAATATTTTTTTTTTTTTTTTTTTTCTAATAATATTGTATGTCTGTCCAACTTTGTTGTTGTCTCATTTTATGTATCTAAGTCATATATAGTGCATATGGTGCGCGGATAAAGACATTTTCTTCCTGAATGTTTCTTGTTTTCAATTTTGATGTTTACTGAGATTGTCTGCTGTCCACAGGCTACCTTAAAGATAATCGGGTTTGCCCGATATAAGGATACGCTTGAAACGGCTGTTGAATCTTTCAAAGTAAGGACAGAAACATCGGAGGCTGTGGCACTAAACTAATTTTGATGGCCAACGGTCCTATGGATGGAGCACCAGCCTGCCAGGCAGAAATCTAGGCAGGCTAAAAATAACCATCTCATAAATCCCGCTTCTACTTTGGCTTCCACATGCTGACCGTTTGAGAACTGTCAAGTTAAATGTAACCAGCAATCTTCCTAAGCACGATCATCAATCACGATCTACTTTTAGACGCTATAAAGTCATATAATTAGGTCCTGCTGGAGCCAGACTTTTTTTCTTCTTTCAAAAATGACCTTGGCTCCGAGGTCAATCCAGCATTGAATGGATTCTTAGCGGGGTCCTGGAAGGTCAAGGCGGCCAGCTTACTCTTGACCATATCGACCACTGAGGGCTGATGGCTCTATAAAATATAGGTCTAGCCCTATATGCCCAATGCACCTGAAGTATGGAAAAGGGTCCTTTCCTTTAATTTTATGATACTAAGAGGTATTCATCATGTGATGGACACACTGGTTTGTCCAGAAAGTTTTTCCTGTGAAAAGTCTCCCAATGCATGTGTTGTCAGGGACGGTAACAGAAGAAGAGAATAGCACCACTGTCACTCGCAGCACATGCCACATGAAGAGGAGGCTTGATCGGAGACTATACAACCTGCACAAAGTATGATATGAAAAAAAAAAAAAAAACACCTCAAAAACTGAAGTAGTGTCAAAAGGCAGGAGACATGATAGCGTGGATGTTCATGTTAAGGGTAAAAAAAAAAAAAAGTAAAGTTCCCTTTTCACGCCTTTCGGCGCATCGGGCATATGGGCAGAGCGTCCCATATTTTTACAGACCATCAGCACCCTGTGGGTAATGTGGTCAGCATTACGCCGGCTGTCTTTACTTTCCCAGGACAGCCCATCCTGGTACCCATTTTAGGCTGGGTCGACCTGCGACGTCCCATACCACGACAAAAATCCACGCAGCCTGCAGTGGGTTTCGATCGCGGTATGCTGGCTTACGAGTCGGACTCGCAACGCCTTAGCCACGGACGTCACCCATGTTAAGGGTACTACAATCAAACAAGTATGAGAATTCACATATCTAGCAAGCATATTTACAGAGGACGACAGACTCGATAGATGGATAGACGCCAAAGTACAGAAGGCTAATTCTGTCACTTACAAACTAGCTCCTCTATTTAGACACAAGTCTTCTTCCAACAAAACAGCAGAGAAATGGCATCTTCGTCCCTACTGTGCTGTCAGTGCCAAACATGGACAGTTAGAAGGGCACTAGAAAAAACAACAACCCACATGTGAAATACTCTAGAAGGGACAGTGTAACAACTGCTAGCCTTAGATAGAAAGTTGAAATGAGACCTTGTGATAGTTCAGCTAGACCCACCGGCATTTGAGCGTGTTTCTTTCATCCCCCACCACAGCAGAACATCTGTGAGAAAGGCTATAGAAAGACCTCCTCCCACCCCCATCCCCCACCACCTCCCATCCCCCACCACCCCATCCCCCACCATCCCACCCCCATCCCCCACCACAGCAGAACATCTGTGAGAAAGGCTATAGAAAGACCTCCCTCCCCCAATCCCCCACCACCCCATCCCCCATCCCCCACCCCCACCCCCACCACCCCACCCCTGACCCCCCCCATCCCCCACCACAGCAGAACAACCTGTGAGAAAGGCTATAGAAAGAACCTCCCTCCCCCAATCCCCCACCACCCCCATCCCCCATCCCCCCACCACCCCCCCACCCCGACCGCCCCCATCCCCCACCACAAAAACATCTGTGAGAAAGGCTATAGAAAGACCCCCCCTCCCCCCAATCCCCCACCACCCCCATTCCCCCACCCCGACCCCCCCCCCCCCCACCACAGCAGAACATCTGTGACAAGGGGCTATAGAAAGACCTCCCTCCCCCAACCTCCCCCCACCCCCCACCCCCCCCCCCCACCACGACCCCCCCCCCCCCCCACCAACCCACCCTCCCCCCAAGAAAAAACGTATAAATGGTGTAGCTGAACCCTGCAAATAAAAAAAAAAAAAGATGTGTAAATTCACCACCAAGCCACCCAGAGAAGCGCAGGAGAAATACAGAAACCCACGACACTGGGCTACCTCCTGGTATCAGAGACGACAAAAGAAGAAGAACCTCATCCAATATAACAACACTTCAGTTGCAAAGTCCAAACTTTGATGAAAAACTATACATATAGCTTGCCATACGTGGTTGATGGCATCTGCTCCTTTTGTGTGTGTGTTTGTTTTAGTATCCAGAAGCCATGAGTTGTTAACCCTTAGGCTCGGTATTATGGATATCGCCACCTTTCGGCCTTGATTCCATTGTAAATACCGTAAATCTGGGAGAAATGTGGCTTTCCTGCCTACTCCCGGGATTGAACCCGGACCACAAGCAGTTCGTCACACGGTCTCCGCGCAATCCGGTTTGCCAACTACGCTAGAGAGCCGGGCTGGCATCTGCTTCTTTGGCAGACGATCAGATTAAGGAAAGAACGGGTTACATTACACCTAAATATGGCACTGTTTGCTACACAGCTGAGCCTGTCTTTCTGCCTGATCATCCCTGGAGATCTCAGCACACTGATCGACTTCTTCAGTTTTGCTTCCTGGCTGTTCTATGGCATCACCACGTCTGCTCTGCTGATCCTGCGAGTTACCGAACCTGGGACACACAGACCCTACAAGGTGACTGTAGCAATCATATGGATGTGACAGTTTTCTTGTCATCTGTTGTCACGCTTGTCATCGGTTGTCACGCCTGTCATCTGTTGTCACGATTATCGTCTGTTGTCACGCTTGTCATCTATTGTCACGCTTATCGTCAATTTTCACGCTTGTCATCTGCTGCCACGCTTGTTATCTGTTGTCACGTTTGTCATCTGTTGTCACGCTTGTCATCTATTGTCACGCTTATCGTCTGTTTTCACGCTTGTCATCTATTGCCACGGCCACGCTTGTCAACAGTTGTCACGCTTGTCAACCGTTGTCACGTCTGTCAACTGTTGTCACGCTTGTCATCTGTTGTCACGCTTGTCATCTGTTGTCACGCTCTAGGTCTTTCTTTTATTGATCTCCACTTGCTTTTATGCTTAGTCAGCTTTCTACTTTTCTCATTCTTCTTTCGCTTCTTCTTTTTCTTCTTATTACTTTCTTTTTTGTTTGCTTGACTTGTTTATTTTTACCTCTTCTTCTTTTTTTGTGTGTGTGACCTTTTTCCTCTTTCTTTCTCCTTCTGCAGCATGGAACCAAAAGTTTAATATGGTAATTTTATTTGGTTTTAAAGTTTGTGATGTTTTCATTGTTTTGGTTTGTACTTATAAACTCTTGTGATATTGCTTGTAAACACAATCTTTTTTTTTTCTAGAACAAAAAGTGCTATTACTCGCAAAAATTGTTAAAAAGTAGCATGTACTCATCACAGAATGTCTTTTACAAATGCTCTGAACACTTATGCCTGGGGGAAAAAAAAAAAAACACATACCTGTACTGCGTACCGTGGCACCACCAGAAGAAAACGCAGCCTTTTGTGGGGGATTTTATCTGTTTTATGAGATGTAAGATGCTGGAAAGTTTGTTTGACAAACTTAGTATGGAAGATAAACTGTGTCAACATTGATTGAAACTAGACGAGACATAAGCCTACCAACGCCACATGGCATGGACTGTAAGGTGAAGGAGTTGGATAGACATGCCTACTAACGCCTCACGGCATTCGCCTATAATATGAAGGTTATGAATAGACAAACCTACCAACGCCACACGGCATGGACTAAAAGACGAAGACAATATTACATACAATAAAGTTGATACATGTTACTAGTCAAAAAATGAGGATAAAAAGTGGCTATTAAAAAAAAAAAAAAAAATTATGGATAGAATGCCAAAGGACCACGAGATCCTAATGTTTGTTTGTCGTTTGTCTACAGGTACCACTTCCTGTGCCAATTATTGTGCTGCTGGCTTCCATTTATCTTGTCATCGCCCCCATCATACAGAATCCTGGCATACAGTTTGTCTATGCGGTGATATTTATACTCAGTGGCCTCGTTGTCTATGTTCCATTCATCTACATGGGCATTCACTTCAAGTTTATGGGTAAGTGTGTGCTTCCTGTTATTTGAGTTTATGGGTAAGTGTGTACTTCCTGTTATTTGAGTTTATGGGTAAGTTTGTACTTCCTGTTATTTGAGTTTATGGGTAAGTTTGTGCTTCCTGTTATTTGAGTTTATGGGTAAGTGTGTGCTTCCTGTTATTTGAGTTTATGGGTAAGTGTGTGCTTCCTGTTATTTGAGTTTATGGGTAAGTTTGTGCTTCCTGTTATTTGAGTTTATGGGTAAGTGTGTGCTTCCTGTTATTTGAGTTTATGGGTAAGTTTGTACTTCCTGTTATTGAGTTTATGGGTTAGTGTGTGCTTCCTGTTATTTGAGTTTATGGGTAAGTGTGTGCTTCCTGTTATTTGAGTTTATGGGTAAGTTTGTACTTCCTGTTATTTGAGTTTGTGGGTAAGTGTGTGCTTCCTGTTATTTGAGTTTATGGGTAAGTGTGTGCTTCCTGTTATTTGAGTTTATGGGTAAGTTTGTACTTCCTGTTATTTGAGTTTATGGGTAAGTGTGGGCTTCCTGTTATATGAACTAGATAACCACTGGTGGAATCGAAGATGGAGAAAATGAGGCAGAGGAAGACCTCTGCAAATGTGGATGCAAGACATTAAAGATGAATTTGCTATGAAAGCACACAGGGTTAGAGAATCGACAAAAGAGCGAAAAAAAAAAAAAAAAGACTTTCAAGCGTGCCGTGATGAAACCAACGTTCTGAAGAGGAATTGTCGATTGATTATGAGTTGTTAAAAGTGACTCAGTTTGAATGTCTAGTTTAATTGGTTCTGCTGGTAATGTTATTATTGCAACTATTAAATTAGTGACTACTGAAATAAGATGTCGGCGAAAGACTGCAGGAGTGACTAGAAGAGATACAGCCAGAAATAAAGTCAGCGCATAACCAGTTCTAAATTACATCAAAAGGCAGCACATCAAATGGTTTGCTCACTTAGAGAGAATGCATTCTGACAACATACCATGCAAGGTATACTCTGAACGAGTCGACGAGTCGTAAGGCTTAAAGCAAGAGGTAGACCAAAAACAACATGGAAAGATACGATCATAGAAACTAAAGCAGAATCTTGACGACGCTAGAAGCGGTAAAAAAGGAAGTGAAGAAGAAGAAGTAGAAAATGTCGTAGTAGAGGTTTCAACCTTACTGCATTCAGGTCACCCCATACTTGCTCCCTTCCGGTGCTAGTGCACATCAAATGAAATGACCCCTAATGTCCCAAGCTGGTAAACAAATGTCCCGGCATAATCCAGAAATATGTGCACGCAGTAAATGCATGGAAGTTGCTAGAGGTGCCAAAGCCAACAGTCGCCACCAGAAATGCCGTTTGTCGTTGACGAAAGTAGTCGGGCACGGTTAACTGGCTATACACACGTAGAATTATTACCTAAGGGTTTTCACCATCTCACATGTGAACCTGCCATATTGAATACCACGACACAGCCGCTGCACAAACGAAAGACATTCTACGTGAAAAAAAAGCACAGCTCACAGGGCTGCACCAAGCACTAAACTCAGTAGCTCATACAGCGAAACCGTAGACTACTGTGCATATGTGGAAATTGCACTAGCAAATATCTTATATTCAGTTTGGTCTGGTGGTATTATAACAACTATAAAGCCGGCATTAATTCTTCTTTGCAGATTCCGTGACTGTGTTTGTGCAGAAGCTTCTACGTGTAGCACCAGCCAGTTCCTGAAACACTGAAGTTTGGTTGTCTGTCTGTTGTAGTTTTGTGTATGTTTGTCTGTATGAGTGTGAGTGCACGTATTTGCATGTGTGAGTGCATGTATATGTGTGTGTGTGTGAGCGTTTCTGTTTGTAAATAGTTAAATTCTCCACAACTAACACATTATGTGTCCCTGGTCTAGTTGCCATGTGTACGTTAATGAAACTAACTGGAACCATTTGTTTGCTTCAAGTTTACAATTATAGTTCGTTCAACAATTCATAAACACACATGCATACCGTTTTCTCGAAAAACTGCCTTTATATACAATGTTTGCGTGTAGGCTGCTGTCCTTGAAAACAAGTTTTTAGATTTGTCAAAAAAGTTAATAAATAATGCTGTGTCATGACATGTACCAACAAAACTTTGGTGTGTGTGGGAATATGTCGGTTATGTATGGATGTTTGCAGTGCATTTATGGTTGCAGTATGTGGATGCGGTTGTAGTATGTGGGTGTGATTGCAGTATGTGGATATGGTTGCAGTATGTGGATGTGGTTGCAGTATGTGCATCTGGTTGCAGTATGTGCATGTGGTTGCAGTATGTGGGTGTGGTTGCAGTTGTGCATGTGGTTGCAGTATGTGGATGTGGTTGCAGAGTCTGGATATGGTTGCAGTATTTGACCCTGGTTGCAGTATTTGAATGCGGTTGAAGTACCGGGATGCGGTTGCAGTATGTGAGTGTAATTGCAATATGTGAATATGGTTACAGTATTTGCATCTGGTAACAGTATGTGCATGTGGTTCCAGTATGTGCATTTGCTTGCAACTGTTGATGTGTTGGAGTGTCTGGGTGTTTAGATGTGTGGGTTTCTTTGACTGTGTGGACATGTGGAAATGTGTGGGTGTGTTGAAGTGTGTTGGATTATATAGATTTGTTAAAATGTGTTAATGTTTTTCGAATTGTGTCCTTACTGACACAGAGATGTTTACCTCTCAAAATGCTATGATAAACCTTGCAGTAGCATCCACAAGGGGACAAGCTGATAGATCGATTAAGTTGTATTTTCTACACTGAAGCTATAAAGTTAGTAAAAGTGTAAACTTTTTTCCGTTTAGAAGAGAATAAAGAGAATGATCTCAGTCGAATGTCTAAACTTCGGACATGGCAAACATTGGGCTCCCTTACAAAAGTCCAGATTTTTATAACGATTGGCACCAATTGTAAACTGAAATTATATTGCACTTCTGTTTACAAACTTACTTAACACATATGCATATTTACCTTTGGCAATTTGTAATGTACCCGTATTTCAATGTGACATATTATGACTGTGTGTTTTTATTTAGATGTTAACAGCACTGTGAATTTTCTTCTTTATCAAAATGTAGATTCGCAAATGTGAGTCATTTTGAAAATCTGTTTGGAAAAAATTGGACCTCTTAATGACCACTCTTCCCTGTGATAGTGAAACTTGGTGCAATCAAGTCAACCGTCTCGACTTGAGGGTTCACTTTTTAACCTTTTGGCTGTCTGCTAGTTTTTCGGTTGACAACAATGAAATGTCTGAGTAAAATTGCCACTGTTGTCCTGTCCGAATTGTGAAGATAGTGAAACTAGGCCTTTTTGTGGTAGAGGAAGAGACTGAGCGAGCGTCATAGCTGATGGTTGCTGTTCTGATTTGTAACTGAGTCATTGTCTGTTTGTTTCATATACTGATGAAGGCTTTCTAGCCGTAACGTTTAGTCGTGTTTCGTGAATGTGATAATATGAAGATGATTGTTTACACAGGATGCCCCAAAAGTTTTCATACATAGAAAAACTAGACATCTTTTATGGAGACCATTTTTATTGAAATATTATGCTCTACATGACTACCATTGTTTCTAAAATATATGTCTATGGGTCCTCCACGGCTGAAAAACACATACAAGCACAGATGGAGTTATGCCTGAATGGCGTTGGTGATATGTTGATTTTACATACATATAGAAATTTTTTGGACACCACGACTTCTTGTTCGGACTGATATATTCTCAGAGCTGTAGTTGGTTTATGCCAGCGAGAAGTATCTGGCGCCTTCCTGGATCTGCGTGGCGCTGAGGATGTTCTTGTAGAGGAGACACTGGGTGGTGTTGCCGGTTTGTCCCAGCCAGGAGAAGGCCTTACAGCCGTGGACTCGCAGACACAGCCGCGAACAAGTCTGAGATAAGGAGAAACAAAAATGTAAACGTAAATTAGGTTGAACAGAAGTAATGGCAATTACCAAGAAAATGGACCCTCCGAAATGCAACATCACAGTAAATGGGATAATTCTCAAACAAGTTGCTAAATCTGAGTACTTGGGTACCCTGATAGCCTGAGATGGAAAATGCTCAAGCTAAAGCAGCTTTTCTTTTTCTTTTCAAACAAAATGTAATATAATCTTTCTTTGTCAATTGAGACAAAAAAGAAAATTGTTAAAAGCTATATAAATCATATCCCGATATACGCAAGTGAATCATGGACAGTTAGTAAATTAGTGAAAACTTATTTGGAAGCTACGGATATGGTTTTTTATAGAAGAATGATATGAATACCCTAGACAGATAAAAATAGCAAAGAGGATGTCTTGAGAGAAACTGACTCATGAAGAGAACTGATTGTCCACATCAGAAAGAGACAATCTATATTTTTTGGTCATGTGATGAGAAGGAGAAAACTGGAGTACATTGTGACGCTGGGAAAGTTGGGGGAGGGGGGGGGGGATAGGAACGGTCCTATCAATTGTTTTGAATGAACTTCTAGCCATGCGCAGAAATATTGTTGTGGGAAAAGTCGTATTATGTGGGTGGATGACATGACAAAAATTGGACTGGGTGTAGCCTTTACGAATGCACCGTAAGGTCGCAGGATATAAAGAGACTACATAAGACCTATAATGCGAAACTGGCACTTGACGAAGATCTGACCAACCATTTTGTTTGTAGTCCGGACGTTGCCAAGGACGCTACCTTCAGCAGCAACAGGGACTCGGTCTCGTCCAATCAGATGAAAGTGGGCGTTGTCCCGTGAGCTGGCCGTCCACTGATTCTTGCTCAGAACCCAGTTCCAGTTGACCCCTGCGAACACATTCACACTTATAGAAAAGTGGAACCGACCAGCTGTACAAGAATATAATCACAGAAGAAACGTTCCGGTTAGAAAACCTTCGTTAGTCTGCAAAAAAAAAAAACTGGACTTGATGTTATGAATTCAGATATCCACTATTTGGGCCAAATTTTAACAGAAGCAAATCCGAAAAAAAAAAAAAAAAAAAAAAAAAGCAGTTATTTGAGGTCACCGGATGGTTACACGGTACATATATCTATATAAATAACAATGTAAATGTTTCTTGGTTAGTAATGGCTAACCTCCGAGAGTTCGTCACCGATTGCTTTCAAATTTTGACACGACGTTGCATTATAATACGCCAGCGTTTTTATATAAGAGTTTTTCAAAAAGCACGAACTACATAGACCCAACAATGATCCCATCAGCAGCTTGGCTTTGTTTTCTGAGGATCCTCTGTTTTGTTGTTGTTGCCAGTTTCTTTACGCCTAGTGAGTAAGCAAAACACAGCAACAACATTCTTACAGAAAACACTAGTTATTCATGACACAAAAATTACCGGAAGCGATACACCCCATGTCGATAAAGTCGCACTCTTTTGGCTGGAAGTCAACTTCTGACGGAGCCACGTAACCGGTCACACACTGCCGGACCTCACCGTCCACTTCTCGCGTCTCCAGGTTGACTGAAAATACATGAATGGTTCAAGTTAGGGGGCAGTTGTCTAGATTTGATAACTTTATTTATGACCTCGGAAAACATCGCACAAATCACAATAAGTATTTCCGAACAGAGAAACGATCAACCAGGACTGACACAGAAGACAAATGGATTGACAAAACAGACATTCCCCAGAAACCTCAAGATGAACGTTAACCAAGGGAGGCCAGAGGTGCTCGGCTGGATTCGAACTATGATACTGAAAATACTACACAGGATAGAACGGAATGGAAGAATAGAATGAGAGCTATGTGTAATGTATAACATAATAGGACAATGATGAGAAACAATGTAAATACTGGGATCTTCTTCTCCTTTTCTTCCACCTTGTACCTCATCGAAGTGTCGGGGGGAGATGTAATGTTCGGTGATGAGCTCTGTCAAGAGCACTATTAAGACTGATGTTCATTTCTGTAAGGCTGTTCTTAATGTCATCACTCCATATTTTCCGAGGTCTTCCACTCGCTCTATACCCGTTGTAACGTTTTAGTGTGGCTCGCTGTGGCAGATAGTACCAGGGCATTCTTGTTAGGTGTCCAAACCACTTCATTTGTTGTTCTTTGAGGACCTGTCAAATACTGGGATGAACCTCTGAAAGGTCTGTTTGAACAATATTGAGAATACAACGAATAGATACAGTAAACCTCGGCCAACTCTATTTATCTGGAGAAGGCGATGAGTTAACTTGTTTCTCTTGAAGGGTGCAATTGTTAGTGATGATAGTTGTTTGGAAGCATTGTTTCACCATAGATGTGTAAATGGAACAATATAAAGCTTCACAATAAGGGAAATAATTATGACAAATATAAACTTACTTCTCACAGATGGTGATTAATAAAGCCACAGACTCGTAACACCCGGCTATCCCAGCATAGAAATATATAGATTACATATGTAGTCTATATCCCAGCATAGAAATATATAGATTACATATGTAGTCTATATCCCAGCATAGAAATATATAGATTACATATGTAGTCTATATTCCAGCTCTGGGTTAGCTGTGTCAAGTTTGGACAATAGCCAAAAGACATGAGAGAGGACAGATCAACAGTGAAATGAGATGTTCGAGAAAGACTTCTAACAAAACCAGAAAAGTTCGAATGAGAAGTGAAGAGATTGGACAAACAATTGAAACAATACCCAACGTTGAATTCACTAACAAAAAAAAAAAAAAAAAGTAAAAGGAATTAAAAAAAAAAAACAAAAAAAAACAGCTATTCTGGTAGCGAAAGTATGCAATATAGGAATGGAGACTCCTAATGGTAAAGGAGTACCTAGAATAGGCCTATGGATCGAAAAAGTTATTGAAAACCTTTCCCTATTAGGTTTAAGCGCCCAGTTGTGCAGGGAGAATAGAACCACTGACCCCAACGGATATGTTTTATACGTCGACCAGTGAGGATGTTTTCTCTCAAGTCAGAGTGCATCTGTCTGAGAGGCGAGGAGCCAGCAGTTTGCGTACAACTAAGCCAGATCTGTAAAACAGATGCGCACACGAAATTTAAATTACAGAAAAAGGCTAAAGTCCAGAAGTAGAGGAACAACCGGAACTTTCCGCCCGAGTTAACAGCCGGTGAATTCAAAGAAGAAGAATGGACAACCTAAGACTCACAACATCATAGCATACCAAGTAACATAGAGCCTGTCCAGCTCGACTAACTCAGCTACCATTTGTTAAACTACAAGCGAAAATGTGCAGGCATTGACGAAAGGAATAAGAATGAACACGGCCCACTAAAACTTTTATACGCCATCCAAGTCAATGAAAATTCCCGTTTTTATGCAACTCCGAGGGTCCTGTGTGTATTCATTATGTTCATCAAATAGATTTATACACAAATTAAACTTCAATAAATTGCAAAATGTTTCTAAAAAAAAAATATTTATCATTTTAAAAATAAATTAGTATGCTATTAGAAAATACAACAATAATGACAATAAAATATATAGCACACTAATTTCTCCTCAAAATGATAAATGATTGAAAAAAAATGTGTTGCAAATAAATAAAACTAGTTAATTTGTGTATAAATCTACTGGATGGACAAAGTGAACACACACCAGCCCCTCGGAGTTGCACAGAAAACGGAAATTTCCATTGACCTGGATGGCCTTATAAAAAGCTATAGTGGGCCGTGGAATAACATATCACAAACAGAAACGACAATAAGAAGTCTAGAATGGATTGTGGTAGTAGTCTACTTTTAGGCACTATATTCCACTTCTCCGGCATGCAATATTCTTTGCTGGTCGCAACTTCCGCGTCGGTCAGTACGCATGTGTAGAACTGGAAACAGGCAAATCGTCCGTTGAACTTCTGGTCGTTGTGGTCTTTCTGTGCACTGCCCAGTCGGATGGAGCCTTTGACCGGCAGACGGATCTTGTTGGGAAAGTCATCATCGATGTCGTCAATGTTTTGTCCGTTGTGGAAGATCTGAAGGTCATTTAAGGCAATATTAGGCTGATTAATTAGGCTAATTCACTCACTCACTTACTTACTAATCACTGACTGACTGATTGACTGGCTGTCTTACTCACTACTGACTAAATCACTCACTACTGACTCACTCACTACTGACTAACTCACTTACTCACTCTCTACTGACTCACTCACTACTGACTCACTCACTACTGACTCACTCACTACTGACTGACTCACTACTGACTCACTCTCTACTGACTCACTCATTACTAACTCACTCACTACTGACTCACTCACTACTGACTGACTCACTACTGACTCACTCACTACTGACTGACTCATTACTGACTGACTCACTACTGACTCACTCACTACTGACTCACTCACTACTGACTGACTGATTAATTGACTGACTCACTCACTACTGACTCACTCACTACTGACTCACTCACTACTGACTCACTCACTACTGACTCACTCACTACTGACTGACTCACTCACTACTGACTGACTCACTGACTACTGACTCACTCACTACTGACTCACTCACTCACTACTGACTCACTCACTACTGACTGACTCACTCACTACTGACTGACTCACTCACTACTGACTGACTCACTCACTACTGACTCACTCACTACTGACTCACTCACTCACTACTGACTGACTCACTGACTACTGACTCACTCACTAACTACTGACTGACTCACTCACTACTGACTGACTCACTGACTACTGACTCACTTACTCACTACTGACTGACTCACTCACTACTGACTGACTCACTCACTACTGACTGACTCACTCACTACTGACTGACTCACTCACTACTGACTGACTCACTCACTACTGACTGACTCACTCACCACTGACTGACTCACTCACTACTGACTGACTCACTCACTACTGACTGACTCACTCACTACTGACTGAATCACTCACTACTGACTGACTCACTCACTACTGACTGACTCACTCACTACTGACTCACTCACTCACTCACTCACTACTGACTGACTCACTCACTACTGACTGACTCACTCACTAATGACTCACTCCCTACTGACTCACTCACTACTGACTGACTCACTCACTACTGACTCACTACTGACTGACTCACTACTGACCGACTCACTACTGACTGACTCACTCCCTTCTGACTCACTCACTACTGACTGACTCACTCACTACTGACTCACTCACTCACTACTGACTGACTCACTCACTACTGACTGACTCACTCACTACTGACTGACTCCCTCACTACTGACTGACTCACTCACTACTGACTGACTCACTCACTACTGACTGACTCACTCACTACTGACTGACTCACTACTGACTGACTGACTCACTACTGACTGACTGACTCACTACTGACTGACTCACTCACTACTGACTGACTCACTACTGACTGACTCACTCACTACTGACTGACTCACTCACTACTGACTCACTCACTACTGACTGACTCACTCACTACTGACTGACTCACTCACTAATGACTCACTCACTACTGACTGACTCACTCACTACTGACTGACTCACTCACTACTGACTGACTCACTCACTACTGACTGACTCACTCACTACTGATTGACTCACTCACTACTGACTGACTCACTACTGACTGACTCACTCACTACTGACTGACTGACTGACTCACTACTGACTGACTCACTCACTACTGACTGACTCACTACTGACTGACTCACTCACTACTGACTGACTCACTCACTACTGACTCACTCACTACTGACTGACTCACTCACTACTGACTGACTCACTCACTAATGACTTACTCACTACTGACTAAACCAATCACTATTGACTGACTGACTCATTCACCCAGTACAGACTGACCGACTCACTCAGTCACTACAGACTGATTGACTGATTGACCAGCTCACTCACTCACTCACTCACTCACTCACTCACTCACTCACTCACTCACTCACTCACTCACTCACTCACTCACTCACTCACTCACTCACTCACTCACTCACTCACTCACTCACTCACTCACTCACTCACTCACTCACTCACTCACTCACTCACTCACTCACTCACTCACTCAGACGTGGAAACGTTCATCTGGATTAGCACCTTTGTGATTGGCACTTTTGCATCTTTCCAGAAGACAGTGTTAAATTGTGCTGTAAAGAGGCATGGGACTCACATACCATGACGAAGACGCATTCATCTACCCATTCAATAACTGAGGCCCTCACTCACCAATCTCAGCTCTCAGTCACACACACTATGATTCCACATTCCCCACTTAATTATCCACCTATTTACATACACTCTTATACATATAGTCACTCGCTTGGTGGCTTACTGCTCGGCTCACATATTGACTCATTCTCTGACTCATGAACTATCTTAGTAAATATACTGATGCTGGGATATTAATCAGACATTTGGTTATTCAATCAAAGAGTAATTTGACCATCATTCATTTATTCTGCGACTGAAGATGCCTATCTTTATAAGAGAGTTTTTGGTGTAGATTTTTTAATAGCATTGGTCTGTAAAGAGCAGACAACTTAGTAGAAGTAACCTATCAAGAGCAGACAACTCAATATTTTTATTCATAAAAAAGGCAACTTTCTGTCGGGAGCAGACTGGGTACATTTTATGTGAGTCAAGAGGAGACAGTACCTTAGGTCTGTTGGGAGCAGACTGAATTCATTTTAGGTGTGTCAAGAGGAGACAGTACCTTAGGTCTGTTGGGAGCAGACTGAATTCATTTTAGGTGTGTCAAGAGGAGACAGTACCTTAGGTCTGTTGCGAGCAATCTGAATACATTTTGAGTGTGTCAAGAGGAGACAGTACCTTATGATCATTTGGAGGAGACTGAGTACATTGTCACTCTGTCAAAAACAGACAATTTAATTGCATTGTCTTGCCAAGTCTTGTAAACCTACTAATTCTGATCCAATCAAGAATCTCCCTTCCCCTTTTCCCCAATTCCTTAATCGTAATAATAATAATAATAATAATAATAATAATAATAATAATAATAATAATAATAATAATAATAATAATAATAATAATAATAAACAAGCATCTCCATGTGGGTAAAACAGAGTAGACTCACTGCCTTCCCAACAAGCATGTCCTAAGAGCCGACTAATTAGTTTGGGGCATCTTTCGAGGTCGGATTTCATCTGCCTGAGAGGCAAGAACCTGACAGTCTGCATACATATAAGCCATATATGTAAAACGGATCTGCACGTACCACTAGGTTCTGGAACAGAGACTCATAACTTGTAACCAGAGTTTATAAACAAATTGATAAATAGAAGCTGCATTTAACCTTGATTCTGCCAGTCTCAAACTCTCTAGAGATGAGCAGGTGGCTCCAGGTGTCGGCCAAGAACACCTCGGACAAGGCTGTAGCTCCCACGGACACGCCGTATTCATCCCAGAAAGACACAAACAGGAGTCCTTGGAGTACCGCCACTCTGATGATGTCACCTGTGAGAGAGGAAACAGCGGTGTGACTAGTGATGCGCACGTTCTCAGGTACCGGGACTCGCAAGGAACATTTTTTTATCAAGCATGTCGTAAGAGGCAACTGAGGGATGTCTTGTGACGCCTTACTTTATTGAGTATTAATAGTTTGAAAAAAGAGATGGCAGGGTGCCATAATCCCGTAGCTGACACGCAACCGGGTGCCGACCTGAAGGTATTGTGTTCAAATTCGCAGAGAGCCCAGCCCCCCCCCCCCCCTCTTCCCGCTTTTCTAAAATCACATTGGCTGCAAATTAAACCTAGTCTGAAATGGGTCACAGGTAAAGTCCTGGAAAATAAAGGCGACCGGCGTGATGCTGACCACTTCGCCCATCACGGGATGATTGGTCTGTATGAGTCTAGCCCCACGTGTCTGGTGAGTTACTGGCGTGAAAGGGTGCTTGAGCTTCATGTCCTTGAATACGAGGGTGAGAGTAACAGATGGTGTGCAAAGTGGAGGAGGAGAAGGAGGAAGAGAGACAGAAGGAAAGATATGATGATGAAAAAGAAAAACAAAAAGAGGTGGTCTAGTATCAGCAGCAGCAGTAGCAGTAATTTTAGTGGTGCTGGTTGTAGTAGTAGTAGCAGTAGTAGTAGTAGTAGTAGTAGTAGTAGTAGTAGTAGTAGTAGTAGTAGTAGTAGTAGTAGTAGTAGTAGTAGTAAAAGTAGTAGTAGTAGTAGTAGAAGAAGAAGAAGAAGAAGAAAAAGACAATTAAGAAGTAGTAGTAGTAGTAGTAGTAGTAGTAGTAGTAGTAGTAGTAGTAGTATTAGTATTAGTAGTAGTTGTAGTTGTAGTAGTAGTAGTAGTAGTAGTAGTAGTAGTAGTAGTAGTAGTAGTAGTAGTAGTAGTAGTAGTAGTAGTAGTAGTAGTAGTAGAAGAAGAAGAAGAATAAGTAGTAGTAGTAGTAGTAGTAGTAGTAGTAGTAGTAGTAGTAGTAGTAGTAGTAGTAGTAGTAGTAGTAGTAGTAGTAGTAGTAGTAGTAGTAGTAGTAGTAGTAGTAGTAGTAGTACTGGTGGTGGTGGTGGTAGTAGTAGTAGTAGTAGTAGTAGTAGTAGTAGTAGTAGTAGTAGTAGTAGTAGTAGTAGTAGTAGTCGTTGAAGAAGAAGAAGAAGACCAATAAGAAGAAGAAGTAGTAGTAGTAGTAGTAGTGGTAGTAGTAGTAGTAGTAGAAGACAAATAATTAGTAGTAGTAGTAGTAGTAGTAGTAGTAGTAGTAGTAGTAGTAGTAGTAGTAGTAGTAGTAGTAATAGTAGTAGTAATAGTAGTAGTAGTAGTAGTAGCAGTAGTAGTAGTAGTGTAAGAAGAAAAAAAAAGTAGTAGTCAGTTTGAAAAGATACACCAAGCAAAATGTAGAAAAGCATAACATGCAAGTATAGAGAACACGCAGTACATACACAGTGAGGTTATGCTTGTACCTGTTTCACACATATAGTTGAGTATGGTCCCCTCTGGTTCCCCGCTCGGGTAGACATACAGCGAGATGGTCAAGTCCCTAAAGTCTGCTTTACCGTTCAAATAGAAATCAACATAGGAGTTTTCTCGTCCAGGCAGATTTATGGCCCTGCAGAAATGAGGAAATATTCCAGCGAAAGAAATGTTTTTATCTGGAAAAAGGTGGAGAATAAAAATTGGTGTGTGTGTGTGTGGAAGGGGCTGGGTTGTCACAGACTCCGAAACCTGTGGTCAGCAGCTACATCTTGGAGAGGGAGGCATCCTGAGGACGTTTCCGGACACGTACAGACAGGACAGTTTGATGTGCTCTGAGATTTACAGTTTATCCACTCCTGACTGACACCCGAAGATTAGATGAGACCCTGAGACGCGAGGAAATGCATCCTGGTTGTCAGTTCAACGAAGTAATTTACAAATACCCAGTTCAACTTCCTAAGTGCTTATACTTCGCTCCTCTCTGAATCCGAAGGTCGTAGGTTCGGGTCCTGATGGACATAATTTCAAAAATGACTTTCCAAATTTAAATTGGTACGGAGTAAAGTCCAAGACAGTAAAGGCAGCCGGCGTGATGCTGACCACATCATCCTCCAAGTGCCGACAGGTCTATAAAATAAAGGTCTAGCCCTACATGCCCAATACGCCAGAAGGCGTGGGAAGAAGGCCCTTCACAGTGTTGAACGCGACCAGTATGATTTTAGGCGGTTGTCAGGGCATTTTTTCCCTAAAAAGGTGCCGCTACCCACTATAAAGTATCTAAAAAGTCCCGCTACCCCCCCCCCCACAAAGTGTCTAAAAAGGTGCCTCTACCCAGCACAAAGTGTCTCAAAAGTGTCGCTACCCACCACAAAGTGTCGAAAAAAGTGCTGCTACCACCATAAAATGTTTTAAAAGGGGCCGCTACCCACCACAAAGTGTCTTAAAAAGGTGCCGCTACCCACCACAAAGTGTCTAAAAAGGTGCCGCTACCCACCATAAAGTGTCTAAAAAGGTGCCGCTACCACCATAAAGTGTCTTAAAAAAGTGCCGCTACCCACCATAAAGTGTCTAAAAAGGTTCTGCTACTCACCATAAAGTGTCTTAAAAAGGTTCCGCTACCCACCATAAAGTGTCTTAAAAAGGTGCCGCTACCCACCATAAAGTGTCTTAAAAAGGTGCAGCTACCCACCACAAAGTGTCTAAAAAGGTGGCGCTACCCACCATAAAGTGTCTAAAAAGGTGCCGCTACCCACCACAAAGTGTCTAAAAAGGTGCCGCTACCACCATAAAGTGTCTTAAAAAAGTGCCGCTACCCACCATAAAGTGTCTAAAAAGGTTCCGCTACCCACCATAAAGTGTCTTAAAAAGGTTCCGCTACCCACCATAAAGTGTCTTAAAAAGGTTCCGCTACCCACCATAAAGTGTCTTAAAAAGGTGCCGCTACCCACCATAAAGTGTCTTAAAAAGGTGCCGCTACCCACCATAAAGTGTCTTAAAAAGGTGCCGCTACCCACCATAAAGTGTCTAAAAAGGTGCCGCTACCCACCATAAAGTGTCTTAAAAAGGTGCCGCTACCCACCATAAAGTGTCTAAAAAGGTGCCGCTACCCACCATAAAGTGTCTTAAAAAGGTGCCGCTACCCACCATAAAGTGTCTAAAAAGGTGCCGCTACCCACCTTTAAGTGTCTAAAAAGGTGCCGCTACCCACCGTAAAGTGTCTAAAAAAGAAGCCAGTATTCAATTTAAACATTAAAGAAGCGCTGCTGCCCCGCAGATAGAGTAGCGTGGGTTTAATTTCCGACAGAACGGCATTCAAGGAGTTAAGCACAATATGCTTAATGTGCTACTGGCGTGAGATTGGCCCATGATTTTGTTTTACTGAGAACTACGGTTATTCCCCCTTTCCCCCACCACACCCCGATAGCTTTGTAAACAACCCAGACTCATGAAAAGGTCACCAGACAATCAAATAGGTTTGGCAGGAGCTTGTGAAAGGAACTGGTCAGTGCACCACGTAGAGCATGACATGGAACTCGTGGAGCACAGGGATATGGACTGATCTCTGAAACTAACACGACTGCATGACATGCGAGTAAAGCACGGTGAATCAGATTAATGCCGTCTTCAATGCCGAATGAAATAGAGGATCTTTTTCCACGCCTTCATGCGTATCGGGCATATAGGGCTAGACCTATATTTTATAGACAAACTGCACTCGGTGAGTGATGTGGTCAGCATCGCGCCGGTCTCCTTTACTTCCCAATACTTTTTCCTGGCACGCATTTAAGACTGGGTCGACCTTGGAGCTAAGTCATTTGAAAAAAAGGGCCCAGGACCGTCCCGATTTGAACCAACGACATTCTGATCCACATGAGATTTCTAACCGCTAGCCCAAGACGGCTCCCGAGACCAACGATAGGAGACATAACAAGCTCCTTTTGGAAACAATCAACTTAGGTGTCCTGGAGTGGCTGCTGCACCGAGGGACTGTAGGCGCAAGGGAATGCCAGGTGTAGTAACGTCATATTCGACACCTTGAATGCAGCATCTCCAGCTGGGTCATCTTCACCTTTGACACCTGCACGAGGAAAAACGTTCTTCTTTGCGCTCTCTGGCTGTAATCTCCAGCAGAGAATTGTGTTTGTTCTTCCACTATTTGGACTTCGGTGTTGCTATAAAACCTGAAATGAATAAAGGTTTTATTGATTTGACTGGTTTGTATGCAGGCTGTTGGTTTCTCGCCTCTCAGGCAGATGCAGTCCGATGTCGAAGGAAAGATCTGTCCTATCTACATTGATCATGCTTCTAGGTTGGAAAGTGTTCTACGACCGTCACAAGCAGATTGGTCCTAACTACTTGTAGCCTTGGTCCTGATGAATCACCTCATATAGTTTAGAACCTCTGCACCAAGAACGAGGAAACATCATTGAAAATATAATGACAACTGATAAAATGTGATGACAAAAGAAAACAGATGAATACCAACATCGCTGTGTTGTGTGACATAATGTGACAAGAGCTTGAACATGATACAAGATTTCCTTGAACGCTTCAGTGAACCTCCATGACTGTATTATAACTTTTTGGAGCGTCGAGATGAATGAAAAACATATTGTAGACACCTCTTATGTGACTCATTCGGTACTACGCGACTCATCATGCGTCGATAAGTAAATCCAAAGGCAGTGCAATTTTCTGATTTGATTTCATCACAGAAAATTGCTACAATAAATATTTCATCTGACACAATAGTTTAACTTCTGCTGCATTACCTCTTATTAATTTCATATATTAAAAAAAAAAAAAAATTAGTAGCTTCAAACTAGAACTTCATTTTCGCTGTTGCCGGTCCCAAGCACGGATGAAAAAGGAGGAGGGTTGGACATGGAACCAGCTCCCACACCCTGTAAAGAAAATTTATTTGTTACAGAAACTTGCAGGAACGTATGCCATTCCTGTAAACCAACGAACCAAGTGGTGTGAGGTAAATGGAGCGTTTGTATGAGTTGCTGGGAGAGGCCAAAGCTGATGGGCCGGATTCTATTCATGATATTATAGTGATTTTTCAGGATAGAACGGAATAGAGGAATAGACTGCGACCCTATGTGACATTTAATGACACAACGGGACAATGAATGAATGAAGGAATGAAACTACAACTTCACATGATATAAAGAATTACAGTAATGTAAACATGTTACATGATGAGATGAAGAATGTATAAATGGATAATCTGGAGTAAATGATGACGACGAGTATGATGTCCAACATGCTGTAGAAGATGTTGACAACGATGGTGATGGTAAAGAAAATAATACTACTTGTAAGGAAATCCAGGAAAGCCTTCAGAGAAGACGAAGCACTGACTGCTTGCCGGAAGATGACCGTCTCGACCTTCCATAACTTCCTTGTGGACACTGCAGTCTCCAAGTGGCCAGACATATTTCGGAGACCTACTGGCTGCTACCATAGCAACTGGGGAACGCAAACATGAGAGAAGAGAAAGCTGCGTGCAACATAATCATATGTGTAATTAGCTGGTTAGAAAAAATAGCTTGATTCAATTTAACTTGTAGGACAATGACATTCATTTTAACATTGCTTCCCATTCAAGTGCCTCTCACAGAAAAACTTACTGTTTGTGCCATGAGCTACAATCCTCCTCTCAACGCATTCAGTTCATACTTTCATATAAATACCATCTTCTTTGTATATAAGTCTATCAGGAACCGCCTTATTTTTAGCTTGGGTACAAGTACATCTAAGGGACTTAACTATCAACACAGTTTCGTCTAATATTCTTGACCTGCTCTGGCTAATTATTCTTGGCGGCCACACATGTCTTACAAAAATGGGAGACATAAATCCTCACCTTGGCTCGACTTCAGGATACCTCGTCGTTCGTCTGCGGCCCTTTATATCCTTACAGTTGAACGGTTCTCCTATGACTTGCAACTGGGGGATTCTCGACCGAATGGTGGCACATTGTGTCACCGGTTGTTAATCGCTCATTGTGCGGTCCTAATGGGGCTAAACGTCACCCATTAACGTCTTTAATTCCACTGTTCCAACTACCATGTGATCGGGGATTCGTCAGTTATATTCATGTCTGTACATGTGATTTTGCTGATTTATGTAATGATGAAAGCTCTGTAGCCGCAACGTTCACGTTCCCTTTATGTTTGTTTTATCATAAAGCTCGCTGGTCTACCTTTTATTCGGTTTTATATCTTGTCAGAACATTTTGATACGTTTGTCAATACTATGAGCAGTTATGGTAGCCCAGTGGCAGCATGCTTGCCTGCCGATCCAAATGTCTAGGGTTCGAATACGAACCACTACTGAGGTTCATAACTAATCAATGGCTACCCGGTGGACCTAAAAATTATGCCAGAAACTGCTGAAACCATCAACAGAATGCTGAATGGTCTATACAATAAATATGAGTCTAGGACTATACAAGGTCTAGCAATAAAGTAATGAGGCTGATTTTATTATTGCTAAGACAGAAATGATATCTATGAAGCAAAACATGGAATCTTAAGAGGCAACATTCATCCATGATCTGGCAACTTTTCATCGCCGCTCGATAAGCAGACCACAAACAAACCGCCATTTTATTTACTAGGTCAGATGTGCATTGTTACATAATCAGCATGGAGCAAAAAGCTAACATTAAATTCTTCACACACACACACACACACACACACACACACACACACACACACACACACACACACACACACACACACACAAATTACATTCTGGTTAAAACCCAGAAAAAGCGTCATTGCAAAAGTTAAATCGATGAGACAAGTTTATGGGGATAATTGTTTATCTCGTGCATGAAATTTCAGGTGGTATTCACAAAATTAAGAAAATGGTGTGGAAATGATTACTAATGCACCTAGGCCTGGACGCCGAATTTCTGTTCGTAGTGATGAACTCATTGCAAAAGTCAAAGAACGGATACAAGAAGATCATTGTTTTACTGTGAGAATGATGGCAGATGAATCTGGTGTTAATAGAGAGAGACCGTTAATGACATTTTAGTGCAAGATTTTTGCAAGAAAAAAGTTGCTTGCAAGTTTATACCACATTCGTTGTCTGATGACCAAAAACATCAGCGGGTTGAAACCTAAGAGACATACATCATCAAAACAAGAATTTTGGGCCTAAAAACAAGTGTCTTTTCTCAGCCTTTCACCATATTCTCCAGATTTGTCGTCTCCCTGTGATTATTTTTTATCCCCCCCCCCCCCACCCAAAAATAAAAATACGATGAAAGAACGCTTTTTTTTTACGATATTGATGACATCCAAAGAGCCGTAACATCAACTTTAAGGGCCATAACAACAGAAGAATTACAGAGATCCTCCTAGTGTTTTTTAGATCGTGCCACTTGCTGTATCAATGCACTAGGTGCTTACTTTGACTAAAATATAGGTTATATCTTCAACTGTTGATTATTTTAATTGTTATGAAATTAGTCTCATTACTTAATTGTCGGACCTTGTACATGCGCCTACGGCGTGACAAAAAATACTTTATTAATTTTTTTTTTGCTCTATAAAATTATCCTAAACAATATGTACGTAGTCTTCAAGAAACCATAAGGCGAAGGGTGATGAGAGAAATCAAAGGTGCTGAACTGGATTTCACCTTAGAAGTGATCGTATAAGATATAACGGAATGGATGAATAGATTGGCAGCCACATGTGACACATACATGATGACAATGAATGAATGAATGGGTGAATGAATGAATGAATGAATGAATGAATGAATGAATGAATGAATGAATGAATGAATGAATGAACGAACGAGCGAATGATTGAATGAATGAATGAAAGAGTGTAGTATCACTTACCCAACAGAACGAGAGAGAAAAACTGAGTCAAGCTGAGCTGAACTAGAGACATGTCTGAGATGGAGCCCCGATGTAAAAGTCTGGACGGTTCTGCTCTGTGACGATGAAAGATACAGAACAGAAAAGTGGTAGCCAGACAACAATGTCTGTGATACGTCTGAAGCTTGGATTTCATCGACCGGAATTCTTCGCTGACATATTTCTGCCTAAATCGGTTTACAGATCTTGGTCAGGGGAGATCATTTCTAAGTAATCTGCTTTCACGTCTGCTGACTCAGTCTTGGCAGTAAGGATAACTGTACAACAGACGACCCATAGCTGATTCCACAAACGTCAGAAATCATCATTTGGCCCAGCCTTACATTTGAAGTGGTAACTCGAGTCATGAACGCCTATAGTTACGAACAGATCGGCTCACGTACACAATTTCCCAACAAATTTTAACTCGGCCCTGTAACAATACCTCGGCCCACGAACGCACAAACACGGCCTCATATCTCCGTGAAACCCATGCTCTCAGGGACTTCCCCAATTATGTCAGTCATCCCCTGACGTTATCCCTATTTATAGCATCATTACATCTCTCCTCCCCTTAAAAAAAAAAAAATTATGCAATATTTTTTTTTCCATAAACCTATATAAATTTTCATACAAGAATATATTGCCTTATTTTACTAATATTCTTTGACTGTTGGCTGGAATTCTACCATCGGTTCTCAGACTTGTACAACATATGTAGCATCTCTTGTCATTCCCCTTGACAGTTCTTGGCAATATGCTAACAGAATCACCTCCCCAAAGCGTTCCTCAAACAACGCGGATGACCTTATAGGCTCTGTGACGTACTTATCAAGTCCTGAAGTCAGTCTACCTAAAGAAGACTGAACAACACCCCAAAGCGTTCCTCAACAACGCGGAAGTCCAAAAATGGCTCCAAAACCAGACTTATAAATCACACAGTTCTGTATGTCCCCCATAGAACCAAGTTCCCGTTGACAGTTCATTCAAAGTGATTGCTACTCCTTGCTGGTCTTCGTCATTCACCATGGTTTATACCAAAAACTTTGCCAGAATTTCCTCATTTTAGCATTGTGGCAATTTCATTTTCTGTTTGTACACTATAGAATAGATATTTACAAATTTCTATGTTTTAATGCAACATCTGTAATTGCCTGTTGACTGACTGACTTTCTACCCCACCAGGACATCACACAAGCGATAAACACCCGATGACACAAAGTGCCACCATGCGGATGAGGATCACCGTGGAGAGGTCCCAGAAACCGCTTTCAGACAATTGGCCATTTCGATGGCCTGCCTATATTACGGCCCCTGGCAAACGCCAGAGTGGGGCTTCAAATAACAAAAAATTACGTCCTAAAAAGGACGTAAGTAAATTGTGATTTTATGATTTTATTAATTGCCTGTTAATAAAATTTCTATTATAACCTAATGTGTCTGTTGTTTTATTATGAACTCATACACCATCTCTCAGTTTTATTTTTAAATTCATACACCATTTCTCATTATCACTTTCACATCATAACTTTCATATCATCACATCATATAACATTTATTTTATTTGAATATTAAATTGTTAGTAACAAAACGTTTATTGAACATTTGTTAGTAATGTTAGACTGTTAGCTACAATTATCTCCCTTTTCTACTTAACTCCCCTTGTGGTTATTTCTGCTAACTATCTTTATAACCTAGACATAATATCTGGGATATGGTTATTAACCCCTTTAACATGCATAATGTCAAATTTAAACTTTTGTATTAACAATGTCTAACGGTAAACTAGCGTTTTCATTAGGATTTATGTTCTGCAATTTTACCTGTAATGACTGTAAATTCTTTTCTAATTAGGAATTTCTATCATCATTTATTTTTTTTTTAAACTGATCACAGAACTTATATTTTATCATTTTTCCCTGATCACAATTTTATTTTGTTAGCTTCCTGTTCAATTGCATTGTGACTAACTGATACTTTAATATTGCAACTTTCCTAACATATCTAACACAACAATTAACACTTGACATTAACACTGTCACAATTAATGTTACTAGCCACTGCATTATTAAGTTTACTTGTTTTTTGTAGTTTGTTGATAGACTTGGACAAAATCTGTTTTTATCTTCTGTAGTTACTGATATTTCTTCTTTGTGCATGTTTACTAAGTTCTTTTGCGTTTGCTTTTTTGTTACACTTCTTGTGACTGCTGCGACATTTTCTATTTCTTCTTGATTTAAACTCTCACTTTTAACTTTGCTTACTGCATTTGTCTCTTGCCTTTGCGTGGATAGCATCAACTCTTCTGCCATCTCAGGTATGTTTTCTTTCTCCCACTGTTTTATTTCATAATCTGTCATCTCTTTCAGTCCTGTTTGGTTACCGATGATAAGTTCTGCACACGGTGAACCTAATAAAGCCATGTCCATCTTCTTAGTGGTATATGGCGTTTTGACCCATACTGATGCTATTCTAAATTTTTCTATTCTACCTCCGAATGTTCTACATCTAACAACTTTATCAGTCATGTCCTCTGGTTTCACTAATGACTTATGTATACCTGAGATCGTCGCCCCTGTATCTCTTAAAATTGACACGATTCGATTACCAACAATCCCTTTGTGTAGGTTTAACTTTCCATAATCCTTTACAGAATTTCCATTATGCCCTGGTATCTTATGCCCACATTTCAAGTCTCTATATTCTTGAAACGTTTCACATATTGTGCATTTGTCTTCTAGTAGCACTGCTGCATTTGTTTCTGATATTTCACTTCCTGACTCGGAGTCTGATGTTTCACATACTGCTGCTGCTTTGAATTCTTTCTTATATCTGCTAAATTGACGCGTGTGCCCGTAGAATCCACAAGCCCAGCATTTACATGTACTATCATATCTCTTTACCTTTTCCCTCCTATTTTCAATTTTCTTTCTGACTTCTTGTTCATATCTTACATTGGCATCGCATATCGTTTCATTACGATGCTTTTTTTTGCATATGTCACAATCTATTATTGTTATTTTCCTTCCTCCATTAACTCTTTTTCTGGACGGATATGCTGATCTATTATATCCCGCTTCATATGTCTTTTGTCCTTCGGCATTGGCTCCTGAGTATATATCAGTGTTTTGTGGTATGAGAAAGATATCACGATGTGCTGCATAATAATTTTCTCCTAGCTGTTCAAGATGTTTTAACGAAGTAGGTTTGTGTTCCTTCAGAAATGTGGTCATAGGTTTTGGTAATGATTCTAGCAATTTACTTCTTAATAGTAAATCAACTAACAGATCATAGTCGTTGTTAATTTTGGCTGAATCCACCCATTTCTGAAAAGTTGTCTGAACTTCGGACATATAATCGACAAATGTTTGAGTTGATTTTGGTTTTAAATCTATGAATTGCAATCTGTATCCTGATTCTTGTAGGTCATAGTGCCTCATTATTCGGTTTTTAATATACTCAAAATCAAGTCGTAAATTTTCTGACACTGTTTCCAGTATTTTCAATGGTTCTCCTCCAAGGTGTCTTTGGAACAGTATTGCCCAATCTTCTTTTGGAATTTTGTGAAAACGAACTTGTAGTAAAAATGCTGAAATCCACGATCCAATGTCATCCTTTTCACCAAAATTCTTTATGAATCCCTTGTATTTTGTAAATTTATGTTCTTCTTCTTTAGCTCTTTCCCTTTGTGCTGCCAGTTCTGCTTTGGATTCATTATCCATTTCTTTTGTTCTTATCTGTGCTTCAACCTTTTCTCTGTCTGCATTTATTTGTGCTGCCAACCGCTCCTGTTCAAGTTTTAATTCTTGTAATTTGATTTTTTTCTCATGGTCTAATTGCTGTTGTTTCATTGCTGCTTCATGCTGTAACTGCTTATCTTTCAATTCTGCTTCTTGTTGTAATTGTTTATTTTTCAGTTCTGCTTCTTGCTGTAAGATATTCCGCGTGTGATCAGTGGTCTTATAATTGTCTTCCTGCGATAAGAACGGGTTAATTATGTCATGGAGATGTGTGTGAAATGTGAGGTGAAGCCTCAGACTATTGCAGTCAGAAGTAATATGTCCTATAAGAGCGAACCTACAATAAGTCACCCATGTAGACCTCAAAAGCATCGTCCTGTGTTTATAAGAAAAGTTTATCGTCGAAGAAGCACAAGACAACAAGGAAGCAGTCCTAATGTTTTAATCTAAATTAATAAAAACTTTAACCTGTTTTTCAAGACTTTAAAAAAAAAAAAAAAAAGAAACAGCAACGAAACCGTCAGTATTGTATATTTATTTATTTTTGAATATATTTTTTTTACGTTACTGCAGAAACACAGTTCCGTTAAAAAGAAACAGTGAAATCCACAGTATAAATGTTAGAAACAAATATGATACATGCACACCCGTGAATTGAATCGGATCAATATAAGATCACAGCAGGGGCAGAAATAAATCAGGACAAGCGTGTCTCATCAGGCACCTCTGAGGATCCCATTATTGGTAATAATCTTGTTGTAAGCTTCAGCCGAAGGTCTCAAGTAACGAGGTCGCCTGGGGTCGAGAAAGTTCACTAGAGCCAGTCCGTATCTGCGGCTGTACCCAGAGTTCCATTCAAAACTGTCCACCAGGGAATGGTATGTGTAACCCTTGACGTCACTTCCGTCGATTCGGATCGCTGAAATCAAAGATGTCTACTTAAATATGACATCCTTTACTTAAAATTATTTTGTATCCCTTTGTGCAAAACAATTGTGTCTTAAAAATGTATGTAGCTGTGTTGTGATATACTTAGAGCAACCTCTCCTTCTGTCCCTTCTCATCATCCTCCTACTCTTTCTTGTTGTTGTTATTGTTTTTGCATTGACCATCCAGGCTTCTGTGTGTTTTCCTTGATATTCATATTACGCATATTGTTTTTAACCTAACATGCTTTATTGATAACAGTGATAATTTCACACATCCATATTTATTCTAACTGACATACTTTGAACATTTCAAGCACCACTGAGGATTGGAACAGACAGCAGTGGGGGCATGGTACCGGCGAAGAGGGGCAGGGGCCGAACAACACGAAGATGGGCACAAGGTATAAGAGACACCTTGGTAGGAAAGCGCATGAGGTGAGGGACCTAGTTGTGCTGTGATGACAACGATCTTCTGTAAAGATCCTGCATTAGAGTGATGATAATATTTGTCGACTCGAGAAGAATTTTTAGAAGTAGAGGCAGGGGTAGACAATCAGAGACGATTCTTGCCAGTTTCGTCTTGGCATGGCCAGCACAAGAACTGATACATACTGAAGATCGGAAGGTATGCGGAAGCAGGATCACCTTTGTCACTCGGGGTGGCACGACGATCATCCTTCGATGTCGCATGCAGCTCTCCCATGTCCTCCCCATCTTTTTAACCTCACTCTCTAGTTCTCTTCTCTGTGTGTGTGTTTTTTTTTAAGGGGAAAAAAAAGGGGAGGGGGCATGTCTTCTTTTATTTCTATGCCCCTGTGGGTTCCAGTGCCTGGAAATTCTTGTCATTTTTTTTTAAAGTTATTTTTTTAAGGTATGCCCTATCTAAAGCCAGCTCTTTTTCTTGCCCTGTTAGTCCACTGGAACTTGTTAAGTTCTCTCCCTAAGCTCTATATTTGTGATTAGTTACGGATGCCTTAATAATACCTTCTTTGGGTTTGCCCTGTATGTCTGCCATCCAGACTGAGATTGTGTAACCTTATAGCCTCAAACTTGAAGTTAGCAGCAAGGAGAGGATACACAGACGGAAGGGTAGGAGACTCTAACCTTTGAGAAGCTCGTCCAGGTGCTGTTGGATGAACTGGACCCTGAACGAATCCTCTAAGTCCGGATTGCTGCCCCAGACACCATTTCCGGTGATAACAACTGGGGTGTTGTTGTAGCGACGGCGGATGTGGCCCAGGGTAAACCTCAGCCCCGCGGGATTGGATGTGTTCAGGCTGGGGTAGTTTCTGTCTGCCAGAGTTGCATGCCACTTGACACTGGCGTTCCGGCCAACCTGGCTTATCTGGTAGTAGGCCAGGCCAAATAATTGTGCACTTCCTGTGAATAAGATTACACAAATTTTTATAAATAATATGGTATTTGTGGGGTTTCGGAGCTACATTTTGGGGAAAAATTATAGACCCCTTGTCCCTCTTACAAGCATGTCATAGGAGACGACTAACTAGGGGTGTTTCCTTCAACGTCAGACGGCCTCTGCCTAAACGACAAGGAGCCAACCGTCTGCTTAAAAATAAGTCAGGTATGTAAAATGATTGCGCATGCAAAACTCAAGTTCTGGAACAGTACCTGTGTAGGGCAGTGGACGAACCACTTAAACTTTTCGCCGGAGTTTTTAGTCGGGTGAAGGGGAATAGTAATAATAATAGTAAAAATAATAAGAAGAAGAAGAGAAAAAAAAAAAAGAAAAGAAGAAGAAGAAGAAGAAGAAGAAGAAGAAGAAGAAGAAGAAAGAAAGAAGAAGAAGAAGAAGAAGAAGACATTATATACAGAGTCCGCTGTCATGTGTAGGTAGGACATTCAACACATCACACACAGAGTCAGTTGTCATGTGTAGGTAGGATATTCAACACATCACACACAGAGTCAGTTGTCATGTGTAGGTAGGACATTCAACACATCACACACAGAGTCGGTTGTCATGTGTAGGTAGGACATTCAACACATCACACATAGAGTCAGTTGTCATGTGTAGGTAGGACATTCAACACATCACACACAGAGTCGGTTGTCATGTGTAGGTAGGACATTCAACACATCACACATAGAGTCAGTTGTCATGTGTAGGCAGGACATTCAACACATCACACACAGAGTCGGTTGTCATGTGTAGGTAGGACATTCAACACATCACACATAGAGTCAGTTGTCATGTGTAGGTAGGACATTCAACACATCACACACAGAGTCGGTTGTCATGTGTAGGTAGGACATTCAACACATCACACACAGAGTCAGTTGTCATGTGTAGGTAGGACATTCAACACATCACAGACAGAGTCAGTTGTCATGTATAGGTAGGATATTCAACACATTACACACAGAGTCAGTTGTCATGTGTAGGTAGGACATTCAACACATCACACACAGAGTCGGTTGTCATGTGTAGGTAGGATATTCAACACATCACACACAGAGTCAGTTGACATGTTTAGGTAGAACATTAAACACATCCCATACAGAGTCGGTTGTCATGTGTAGGTAGGATATTCAACACAGCACACACAGAGTCAGTTGTCACGTGTAGGTAGGACATTCAACACATCCCATACAGAGTCGGTTGTCATGTGTAGGTAGGACATTGGACAAATCACACACAGAGTCGTTTGTCATGTGTAGGTAGGACATTGGACAAATCACACACAGAGTCGGATGTCATGTGTAGGTAGGACGTTAAACACATCACATACAGAGTCGGTTGTCATGTGTAGGTAGAGCATTAAACACATCCCATACAGAGTCTGTTGTCATGTGTAGGTAGAGCATTAAACACATCCCATACAGAGTCTGTTGTCATGTGTAGGTAGAGCATTAAACACATCCCATACAGAGTCGGTTGTCATGTGTAGGTAGGACATTGGACAAATCACATACAGAGTCTGTTGTCATGTGTAGGTAGAGCATTAAACACATTACATACGGAGTCGGTTGTCATGTGTAGGTAGGACATTCAACACATCCCATACAGAGTCTGTTGTCATGTGTAGGTAGAACATTCAACACATCCCATACAGAGTCGGATGTCATGTGTAGGTAGGACATTAAACACATCACATACAGAGTCGGATGTCATGTGTAGGTAGAACATTAAACACATCCCATACAGAGTCGGTTGTCATGTGTAGGTAGAACATTCAACACATCCCATACAGAGTAGGTTGTCATGTGTAGGTAGAACATTCAACACATCCCATACAGAGTCGGTTGTCATATGTAGGTAGAACATTCAACACATCCCATACAGAGTCGGATGTCATGTGTAGGTTAGGACATTAAACATATCATTAAAAGAGTCAATAGGTCTCAATTTAGGTCTAGCACTATATACTCAACGAAAGCCGCTGTGGTGTAGCGGCTAAACGCTTGCCTGTGGATCTGTAGGTCGTTGGTTCCACACTTTTTTCTTCTTCTTCTGAAAAATGACCTTGGTTTTCATTTCAACCCAGACTTCAAGGGATACCAGGTGAAGTTCATGAGAAGTAAGGGCAGAAGACATGATGCTGATTATGCCATCCACCAAGTACCGCATTGTCTATAAAATATGGGTCTAGCCCTATATGCCCAATACTCATAAAGTCGTAGAAAAGGCTCCTTCGCCTACCTGTACTATTACACAGTGTGTTTCAAGGCGCGGAGAAGGTCACTCACATTTTTTTCATTTTCAAACTGAAATCTGAAGCCCTCAATTGGAGTCTGAAAATCTCCTTTAAAAAGATAAAGAAGCGCCAAAGAAAAACCAACCTTTGATGAGAATCTTCTCCTGCTCAGACAGAGGCACCAAGGCCGAGCCAGCAACCTTCTTGACCTCATCGGAGAAGTCACCGTTGAGGAAAATTGGGTCAGCGAACAGACCGAAGCTGTAGTCTGTAGACTTGGAGGCTGAAGCTGCGTGTCCTGGGTCGTGTGGGTTTAGGGGCACACTCAGGAGGGGAGCCAGTCCAATTCCGATGACACCTGGAATATTTAAGAAACGTGTAGAAAATCAGATGATACGTGCAGAAAATCAGATGAAACGTATAGAAAATCAGATGAAACGTATAGAAAATCAGATGATACGCATAGAAAATCAGATGATAAGCATAGAAAATCAGATGATAAGTATAGAAAATCAGATAAAATGCATAAAAAAATCAGGTGATGATATTGGTCATGAAAGACAGACTTCTTCTTGTATAGAATTACATCGGATATCAAATGTCTCAGTGTGTCGTGGTCGTGCCTGGTATAAGATCTACTGACAATTAACAAGCATATTGTAAAAGTCGACTAATTATAGGTTTTTATTAAGAAGTAGGAATGCATATGCGAGATGAGGAACCAGCAGTCTGCATACAAGTAAATCAGATCTGCAAAACGGATGTGCAGGTAGAATTCAAGTTCTTGAACAAGATCAAAGTCCAGCAAAAGTGAAGAACTTTAATATTCTGTGAGAGTTTACAGTCTTTGAACGTTAGGAAGAGAAGGAAGCAGAAGAAGAAGAAGTAGAAGAAGTCGCAGAAGAGGAGGAAGAAGAAGAAGAAGAAGAAGAAGAATAAGAAGAAGAAAAAGAAGAAAAGAAGAAGAAGAAGAAGAAGCAGAAGAGGAGGAGGAGGAAGAAGAAGAAAAAGAAGAAAAAGAAGAAGAAGAAGCAGAAGAGGAGGAGGAAGAAGAAGAAGAAAAAGAAGAAAAAGAAGAAGAAGAAGAAGAAGAAGAAGAAGAAGAAGAAGAAGCAGAAGAGGAGGAGGAGGAAGAAGAAGAAGAAGAACAAGAAGAAGAAGAAGAAGAAGAAGAAGAAGAAGAAGAAAAAAGAAGAAGAAGAAGAAGAAGAAGAAGAAGAAGAAGAAGAAGAAGAAGAAGAAGAAGAAGAAGAAGAAGAGAAAGAAGAAGAAGAAGAGAAGAAGAAGAAGAAGAAGAAGAAGAAGAAGAAGACGAAGAAGAAGAAGAAGAAGACGAAGAAGAAGAAGAAGAAGACGAAAAAGAAGAAGAAGAAGAAGAAGAAGAAGAAGAGGAAGAAGACCGCATGTATTTACCACTCTCTATGGTTGTGTAGAATAGATAACCGTCTTAATGCTGCCTGGCTAGTGCCGTCGACACCATGATGCTCCCAGATGACTCCCTACGCTTGTCACTTTATGATCCCTAACTGTCAAGGGTTTTATACATACATTTATCATCCGCATGCAAGAAGAATGGATTCAAATGAAAAATCACCACCAACCTTTCTGTGTAGGCTCGAAGTGGCGTTCATAGATTCTGTATGCTGCAGCGTGGGCCAGCAAAACGTTACGATAGACACTGAACAGATACTGGTTGTCTCGGACCTTGTTTGGGAAGATGAAAGGGATTCTTTCCGGCTCACTGAATGTTGCCCATACTTTCACCTGGACGTATAATAAACAAATAGACATGTATTGATCGGCACTCAAAGAGATAAATTAGAAAGATAGAAGCATTTAATCAAACTGCATTTGAAATTTCCTACAGCTTAACATTAGTAAGGCGAAAGAAAAAAAAAAAAAGATAGATACATTCTGTAGTTTGAATCTGCAAAATGATGAGCAAATCCATCAGAATCTGTCACCATAACTCACACAGAAAGATTGTATAGAAAAATAGTCTTTATTTTGTGAAATACTTACAGAAACGTTGTAAAATATTTGCCTTTCTTTGAGCTTTTAACTTCATCATCATCATGTAGTAGCTTGTTTGCAGCTGTTGCTCTGTTCTCGCTTTGGCTCTCTCCTGGGCTCTCTCCTGGGCTCTCTCCTGGGCTCTCTCCTGGGCTCTCTCCTGGGCTCTCTCCTGTCTCGTGCATTTTCCTATCAACGGTGTCGTTTATTCCCTGTGACCATCTTCAGGGTCGGCTCCTGTCCCTTTTTCCTGATACCATGCCTGGTGCTATTAAGTTTTTCCAGTCCGCCGCGAGCTTGATATGACCAAAATATTGTAGATTCCGAGACAAGATGCTGTTTATTAGCCAACCATCCTTGATGTTCAGATCTATTAAAATGTAAATTTTTTTTCTTCTTTTTTTTTTTTTTTTGTACACAAGATTCTAAGAATTTGTATATAGCATTTCAGCTGAAAACCCTGATTTTCTTTTTTAAGGACTATGTGCAACAGGCTACTTCTTTATTGGTCAATTCTCTCATTGCTTAGGAACGAGGACAGCTATTACCCATAAATTATTTATGAGAATATGATTGGATGGCATCATTTCCTAATTGTAACGTATGTGTGGATCAATCGAGTACATGATCGAGGCAAATGTGCAGGTTGTCTGAAGCGTGCCAAATGAAGAAAGCATGAAAATTGTTGTATCGTTTTTGGGGGAACAAGAAGTAGTATAAGCGTTAGGCAAACTAGAAAGACGAGTCTTGTTTTTTAATCCTGAGAGATTCCGGTCTTGTGGTACTGGGAGAGTGAAAGCCTAGTGAGCCTACAAGCAAGGGGAAGTATGTCCAAGCGTCGACCGTGGCTCTTATGAAAACCTGGCCATCTTGTTTAGCATGACATCTAGGAATGGTTGTACTTCGTCTGCTATACGTGAGAGATGTTTTGAGTACAACTTGAAGTGCCATCGTTTAGGAGTGCTTTATTTGAATGCTCTGTTCAGGTAATGTTCTGTGTAGCTGCATCCTATACATCAAACCTTCATTGACCAAGGTACATCCTCAGAGCAATACAGCAGAGTTGTTATCAGCTGTTCACTGTTAGTCAACATGTGCTCACAGTGCAAGCATCATGTGCTGAAGTACTTGTCAACGTGCCTGGGAAGGCTGCATGATTAAAGCCAAGGATGAGAGTCATTGCCCTATCCTACAAACATTATTTTGGGAAAAATATTTACCTTTTGTCCAAAGTTCTCAAAACAGACTGTAGCCAGATACAAGTACTCGTCTATCATGGACTCATTAGCCCAGCCACCGACGTCCTGTGTGAGAGGGGACATCATCAGTTGCCATGTAACACATTGATCATTTGTATAATTTACTCTGTGGGTCCTAAAACCCCACTTGGGTGGGGTAGGGGGTAAACTTATTGCCCGGTAATAGGCTAACCTAAAAAAAAAAATGTTAATTAGGTGGGTTGACTTCCAGATTGGAGTGTGTCTGTCTGGGAGCCGAACAGCCAGCAATTTACAAACAAACAACGCCGATTGGGGGACAGTTCTGGTTGTTCGGCCACTTATAGACTGTGATCTTGTTCCAGAACGTGAGTTTTGCGTGCACCTCCGTTTTACAGATTTAATATATGTTTATATGCAAGGCGCTAGCTCCCCATCTTTCGGGCAGATGCACTCCTATTTCGAAGGAAACGCATCAGGCATGCCACCTTTTACGACATGTTTGTTAGGGCCAGTGTGTCTATTATTTAGTCCACTAAAATTGGGCCATGCAGTCTACACGGGAAAATTACTGGCATCCGTTCTAGTTGTCAGTTACATTGTTTCTGTCACTTCTATTCCGTCTCAGTTTGTCGGTCATTCTTTGACATATTTTGTCGTTGTCTCATTTACTGTCTCTCGTTATCCCATTTTTTTTAAACACAGGTTTCATTTTATTCACATAAACATATTCTCTCCCCCCTCTCTCTCCCCCTTCCTCTCTCACTCACATACTTTCTTTTTCATTTTCTCCCCGTCTGCTATTGGTTCTCTTCTTGATATATTTCTACCTCTCATTTTCTCTGTTCCTACATAATCATAATTATCATCATCCTCCTCCTCATCATCAAAATCCTTATCATCATTGTCATCGTCATCATTTTAAAAATTAACAGATATATTCCTTTCTTGTGAAAGTTCAACCCTGAAGTATGTTAGAATAATCCAACTGAATTATTAACGTGAGTCTCTCTCTTTTTCTCTGTCTCTCTCCATCTGTCTGTTATTGTCCCCCCCCCTTCTCTCCGTCTCTCTCTCTCTCTCGCTCCCACCTGAAGAACACTGGGATAATCCCACTGATGTAGAATCACCTACGGCCTGACTCTGACACACACACACTTTTTCTTTCTCTCTCGCTCCCACCTGAAGAACACTGGCATAATCCCACTGATGTAGAATCACCACCAGTCTGACTCTGACACACACACACACACATTCTCTCTCTCTCTCTCTCTCTCTCGCTTTCCCACCTGAAGAACACTGGGATAATCCCACTGATGTAGAATCACCACAGGCCTGATCCCGGCGTCGATCAGCTGGTCAAAGAGGGCGTTGTAGAAGTCGATTCCGGGTTGGTGAACTCCACCAGCCTTGCCAGTTGGCAGCACACGGGACCATGTGATGGTAAACGTATAGTGCTCTGCCTGTGGTCAAAATATAGTATAGTGAAAGTGTAGTGCTCTGTCTGTGATCAGAATATAGTATAGTGAAAGTGTAGTGCTCTGACTGTGGTCAAAATATAGTATAGTAAATTTATAGTGTTCTGTCTGTGTCAAGAATAAAGTTTAATGAACGTTAAGTGGTGAAAATATAGTATAGTAAAAGTGTAGTGATAAGACTATGGTGACAATATAGTATAGTGAAGCGGGAAATAATACTCTTGTAAATAAAATTCTCACCAATGCTGTGCTATCAGTGTCAATCATGAACATAGTCTTAAAAAGACAAGAAAAATAGCCACAATATAAATTAAATGTTTACGTGTTCTAATAGATGATGAATTGAGAGAGTTGGCATCACAGCACTAGGGCATTCCCATGCGGGCTCCGTCCTTATCTTCAGCAGCCAGAGCAGAGTTCCAATACTAATAGTAGCGGTTGTAAACTGGTTATATGTCCGTCTTGCCTTTCCTCTGAATGTAGTGAGCCGGCCAGACCTTCTGGTTACACACACGTGAATCATTCTCTCTAGGCCATAATAATCTTGTTTCTCTTTTGACTTCGTTACATGTTCCCAAAGGGCCTCGACCACATCTGCCTGGTCATGAATCAATTCATTACCCAGTGTTGCAGATCCAGCCAATCTGTCTGTCTGTTCATTCCTCACCAAACCGACATAGCCTGGAAAAAAGATCCAATGTATGCTCACTACCTGTGATATTCCCATTGAAGCTTGCCACTCTGCTCGAAGCATCCCTGTCTTCAGAAATTAAATGTTTACATATTATGCTAGATGTAACAAGAAGATACCGACTTAGAAACTATGATATCAGGAGGAGTGTCGGCACAGAACATACACTGCATTGTATCGGTAGACAACAGATCAAATGGTTCGATCATTTAACAAGACTGGCAACAGACAGGGCCCCACAGAGAGCAATGTTACACAGATTCAGCGGTAACAGAACCAGAAGTCGACAACGCAGACGATGGACCACAGAAATATCGGAGACAGTGAAACGTATTATATACAAAGTGAACAGACAGGCCCGTTCCAGAGATCTCTTCCTGCCTTTCAGTTCTGCCAATTTATGTTTATCAATGTCCCGAGGCATTCGTTTTCAAATGCATTCAGTTTGTGTTGCACGTCCTTCGTTGCTATCCAACTTTCACTGGAATATCTCAAAACGCAAATAAAATTAGAACTACAAATACGTAACTTGGTTTTAAAACAATAGAGTTCCAGATTTTTTTTTTCTCTGGTTTTTAAGAAGCTGCTTATACTCTGCCAGTGCGTGTCATCATTTTTTACTTGTGTCTCCTTAACCATTAAGATTACTTTGACCATCAAGATTACATTGACTATTAAGATTACTTTGACCATTAAGATTACTTTGACCATCAAGATTACATTGACTATTAAGATTACTTTGACCATCAAGATTACTTTGACCATCAATATTACTTTGACCACCAAGATTACTTTGACCACCAAGATTACTTTGACCATCAAGATTACTTTGACCACCAAGATTACTTTGACCATCAAGATTACTTTGACCATTAAGATTACTTTGACCATCAAGATTACTTTGACCACCAAGATTACTTTGACCATCAAGATTACTTTGACCACCAAGATTACTTTGACCATCAAGATTACTTTGACCATCAAGATTACTTTGACCATCAAGATTACTTTGACCACCAAGATTACTTTGACCATCAAGATTACTTTGACCATCAAGATTACTTTGACCATCAAGATTACTTTGACCATCAAGATTACTTTGACCATCAAGATTACTTTGACCATCAAGACTACTTTGACCATCAAGATTACTTTGACCATCAAGATTACTTTGACCATCAAGATTACTTTGACCATCAAGATTACTTTGACCACCAAGATTACTTTGACCATCAAGATTACTTTGACCATCAAGATTACTTTGACCATCAAGATTACTTTGACCACCAAGATTACTTTGACCATCAAGATTACTTTGACCATCAAGATTACTTTGACCACCAAGATTACTTTGACCATCAAGATTACTTTGACCATCAAGATTACTTTGACCATCAAGATTACTTTGACCATCAAGATTACTTTGACCATCAAGATTACATTGACCATCAAGATTACTTTGACCATCAAGATTACATTGACCATCAAGATTACTTTGACCATCAAGATTACATTGACCATCAAGATTACTTTGACCATCAAGATTACATTGACCATCAAGATTACTTTGACCATCAAGATTACATTGACCATCAAGATTACTTTGACCACCAAGATTACTTTGACCATCAAGATTACTTTGACCATCAAGATTACTTTGACCACCAAGATTACTTTGACCATCAAGATTACTTTGACCATCAAGATTACTTTGACCATCAAGATTACTTTGACCATCAAGATTACTTTGACCATCAAGATTACTTTGACCATCAAGATTACATTGACCATCAAGATTACTTTGACCATCAAGATTACTTTGACCATCAAGATTACTTTGACCATCAAGATTACATTGACCATCAAGATTACTTTGACCATCAAGATTACATTGACCATCAAGATTACTTTGACCATCAAGATTACATTGACCATCAAGATTACTTTGACCATCAAGATTACATTGACCATCAAGATTACTTTGACCATCAAGATTACTTTGAAATCAAGATTACATTGACCATCAAGATGACTACCTAAAAAGGTTCTGCTTAGCAAAACAAAATAACTGTAAAATGATTCTCTTGTGAATAAATCTGCTCTACGCCTGCGTTTTTCAAATATGTTTCGTCGCGGCACACAGTTTGAGAAGATCTGTTCTAAGCAATCGATGCCCGTACTTCCTGTACATCATTTTTAAAGAAGGAATTAGCTGATGGAATATAAAGAACACCACCAGATAACCTCATGAAATAGATGAAAAAGTTGTGGTTGCTGTAGGTATCATTACAGTACAGGAGCTGCCAGGTACAATGAGAGAAGCCAAAGAGCTGATACCTTGATTGTCCTCAAGGCATCGACGTCATGGGCGAACTCTTCTAGAGGGCTGATCTGTCGGTTCAGGGGTCTGGTGATGTTGGCGAGGATGGCGTCCCACACACTGGCGCCTCGGTCTGTTGATTGGACAATTGCTCTGTTCTTACACTGAATACATCATCTTCATGTGTGCTTACACTGAAAATATCCTCTTTCTGCGCTTACACTGAACATGTCATGTGTCTCAAGTTACACTGAGCATATCCTCTATCTTTGCATATAATCTATCACTGCCTGCACCAAACATATCCTCTATCTCTGCTTACACTAAATATATCATCTATCACTGCCTACACCAAACATATCCCTCTGTCTCTGCTTACAGCTAATATATCATCCATCTGTGCTTACATTGAACACCATCATGTATCTCTGCTTACACAAAACGTATCATCGATCTCTGCTTACAGCTAATACATCTTCTATCTTTACTTACACTGTACATATAATCTATCTCTGCTTACACAAAATATATTATATGTCTCTGCTTACAGCAAACATATCAACTATCTGTGCTTACACTAAACATATTATCTATCTACGCTTACAGGTAATGTCCTGGGAAGTAAAAGTGGTGATGTCCACATTTTTACCCAGTGCTAATTGGTCTGTAAACAAATTATGAGTCTAGTTTCAAATACCAACTGTTTAAAAAAAAAAAATCGTTTTCCTAACGTTATATTCTAGCGTCCTTAGTTACAGATGTCTGGTCACATAAACACGAAAAGTCACATGACCGTTGTTCTTACCTTCTATCCGGTCATCGTATCCGGAAGCGGAGGCACCAAACGAGAAGTTGGCGGGAAACTGGCCGTAAAATGTGGAGTTGAGGTAGGGAAGACTGGAAGGTCGTTTAGGATCGGTGAATGTTCCAGGGATGAAACCGTTGGCTCTGTGTAAAGATATTTGTGACATGTAAAGTGTGTGAAAGCGGAACAGAGCATAAATGCATTTGAATATAAATGTTACAGACAGGTTCTAAGAATATCTTGGGTAAAGAAAAGAACAAATGCATCCATACTTCAAGAGCTGAATATTGAAGAGGGTTGGCTAGTAAAGACAATAAAACAAAGAAAATTGAAATATTTTGGTCACTTGAAACGTCATGGAAGTCTAGAGAGAACGATAATGGAGGGGTATATGCCTGGGAAGAGAGGAAGAGGAAGACCAAGGAGAAGATGGGTGCAGGATGTGGCAGATGATCTCCAGATGGGTGTATCAGACGCAGGACATCTTGCTCATGATAGGAAGGTTTTCCGGAGGGTTGTTATGGCAGCGAGGTTCCGCGAGGGACATGCTACTGAATGAATGAATGAATGAAAGTGTGTGATGTCACAAGAACCGTTGAGTTTTGTGAATTTCAAATAACAATAATGTAACATCAATGTGCATACAGTTCTTCTTTGTTGTTCTTGCTGTCGTTGACCCACTGCTTGTATGGTGAAGCGTCAGAGAGAGCAGTCAGATCTAGTTTCGGTCTTTTTTTTTTTTTTTAAAGTTGCATAGCTTACGTTAATGCCATACAGTGTTTCTGTAGTGCTTCTTTTAATTCTTCCACCCACCTTTTTCATATTTGGTATACTGAATTTCTTGGGCACTACTTCGAACTACTGTTTACGGCCATCATAAGGGAGACAATCCAGCGTTCGTGAACGTTTATATGACAATGTTCCGTAAAATTTAGCTCTAACGCTAACTCTAACCCTTCTTCTTCTTCTTCTGCCTTTCTATCCCCCAATGGAGCATAGGCCCTCAACCAACTCACGCCAAGTCGTTCTATCCTTCGCCATTACATGGAGCTCTCCCCATGTCCTCCCAATCTTTCTAACCTCATTCTCCAGCTCTCTTCTCCATGTGTTTTTTGGCCTTCCAGGTGCCAATTCTGGAGGTTTTCCTAGCTGAGAGGAGGTAAGTCAACGATCCGGACTCCTTACGGCTTTCTCCACACCGTGTCATACTTCTTCTATTTGAAGAGCCTCCCCTCATCTTGGTTGGCTGGATTTTATTTGCTTCTCTTTTTGACTTATCCATCAATACATATGGAAGAATGTTACTATTATGTGAAGTTTCATAAAGAATGGATTACGTCTCCTATGGTTGGTAGTTAAAGTAATGTAAAGCTACAATACATTACGCCCCACAAGGTCGCAGTTTGAAGGAGTGCCATCATTCTTTCGCTTCTTATCTTAGACGTAACATATACCTAGTTTCGTCCTTTTTAGGACGAAATTTTTTGTTATTTGAAGCCCCACCCTGGCTTTTGCCAGGGGCCGCAATATTGGCAGGTTATAAATATGGCCAATTGTCTGAACGCGGTTTCTGGGACCTCTTCACGGTGATCCTCATCCACATGGTGGCACATTGTGTCATCGGGTGTTTATCGCTTGTGTGATGTCCTGGTGGGGTAGAAAGTCAGTCAGTCATCTTAGACATTAATTTTTAATTAATCCACTCCTGAGATGCAATTTTTTTGTTATTTTGAAGCCCCCACCCTTTCTTTTGCCTGGGGCCCTGAATATGACCTAACGACTGAAAGGGGTTTCCGGGACCTCTCCACGGCTGATCCTCATCCGTATGGGTGGCAATTTGTGTCACCGGTGTTTATCGCTTGTGTGATGTCAACTATCTACAAATCTTCTTATCTTGGACTTGCGTGTTTGAACAATTAAATCCTTAGAACTTTGCGATCGCTGCTGAAGGCTGGTACTTTGCTTGGGAGAAAAAATCGTCACGCTCGTCACCAGCATTTCCTAAGGGGGAGCTTTAGATTATAATTGTGACTAGGTTCATGTGCGCCATATAGAATAGCTTAGCACTTTACGCCACCAAGAGCCATGAAAAGGACTCCAGCAGTGCTGATGCGATCACAGGAGTCAGGGCTAAATACTGTCCCGACCGGAGGCGAGGTGACGATCTACCGCAGAACCGATGGGCTACCCGACCGCCGATGGTGCTGGCTGCTGAAGATGGAGACGGGGTTCTTATGGGAATGTCCCAAGTGGTGAGATGTTTGTTCTAGCTGAACACCGCTCACATCAATGCAAGAATATAAAACAAACCTGTGTGCATTCCTTGGACTCACAGTGCAGGGAAAAAGTAATAGACCACTGCTCCCTTACAAGAACTTACAATGAGAATTAGGATTTCGCTGAAATTGGATATCTTGGGTCGAAAGGCAAACATATCGCAGCTAACTGTAAACTACAACATGCCAGGCACCCTTCACCCGTAATGGCGAACGCAGAAAAAGAAGAAGAAACAAACAGGAATAAATGCAGCGACGACAAACATGGAACCGACGACTTACTTGAAGAGCTCATAAAGATATCTGGCCGATGCCTTGGGCGTCCTGGTTCTGTTCGGGCTGCTGTAGTCCACAGAGTAGACGCCATACTTTTCTGCGTAACCTCTTGACCACTCAAAATTGTCCATCAGAGACCAGCCGGTGTAACCTTTGACATTGACCTTGTCAAGGACGATAGCTGTCGGGAACAAGAATACAAGAAATAGAACATGTGCCGCCTTTTGAAACCCAGTTTTGAGTTGTGAACGCCCCGTATCGGTTCCAGGGCCTTTTTGTGGGGGAAACAGAAATGACCCACTGCCTTTTCAACAAGCATGTCGTAGAAGTCAACTAATTGGGAGCATATTTCGAAGTCGGACTGCAACTGTCCAAGCGGCAAAGAACAACTGCACATAAATAAGCCAGTAAAACGGATATATGCATACAATTCCACAACTTATCACAGACATCAGAAAAAGACAGTCATCATGTTTCGGCCATGTTATGAGAAGAGGGAAAATAGAACATGTTGTGACCACTGGAAAGATCTGTGGAAGGAGGGATAGAGGAAGACAACGAGAGAAGATGCTTGACAGTCTTGTTGCATGGCATGGAGGTGTGTCAGCACACAAACTGCAGGAGATCATGGATTATGGAGAGGCATGATAGCCCACGCCAGTGATGATGATGATGACTTTTTACCGGCTTTTAAAGCCGGTGAACGATGAAGAAAAACCATCGTTGTGATCGGCTTTTCTTTATGTTACAACAAACGATAACAATGGTTGTCCGGACATTTCTCCTACTTCTTCACTCCTTTTGAACTCATCCCATTTAATTTTCACCATTTTCCGCAGCCATTTGTGATATTGGCCAAATTATATATATCATGTCTGTATTGTTATGTATTATGTAATTTATATATAAATATATATATATGGGCCTAATACATAACAATACAGACATGATATATATATATAATATATGGTGGAGGAAATATCACACAGTACATATAACTGCTGGGCAACTTGCAAACTTAAAGTCTATCGCATCTGACAACCTGTGGTGGAGGAAACTAATCACACAGTCAACAGTAACTGCTGAAACAACTACACGAAGTGTTTCGCGATTCTGATGCCGAATCAGAAAGAAGTATGTGTAATACACTATCATTTGATGGTGCAATCCTCGCCTTCAAGGCCATGTTCTTTTCCAGATGGTGTTCTTTTTTTTGGTTCACAGATCTGCTGCTTTTTATTTCCAAACCTGTTGATGACATCCCTCCACTCCACAATCTTAGATTGTCCAGCACAACACCGTTCTGCTCCTGTTGATGACATCCCTCCACGTCACAATCTTAGATTGTCTAGTACAACACCGTTCTGCTCCTGTTGATGACATCCCTCCACGTCACAATCTTAGATTGTCCAGCACAACACCGTTCTGCTCCTGTTGATGACATCCCTCCACGTCACAATCTTAGATTGTCTAGTACAACACCGTTCTGCTCCTGTTGATGACATCCCTCCACACAGTGGCATACAAACTCATATATTCATACAACAATGAGAGGTCAGACCGAATAGAACGTTTCACTCACACACAGGGTGAAGGTCTCAGCTCATGCCCCGGAGATAGACGGGAAAGGGAGACAGACATAAAGAGAGACAAAAGGACAGAAAAAAGACAGACAAAAAGACAGACCAAAAGACAGACAAAAAGACAGATAAAAATACAGACAAAAATACAGACCAGCAGTCAATGAGAGATCGGAATAAAGCCGATCTTTTGCCTCAAAACACGGCTCTAACAATGTATGGCAAATACCCTTAATAATATAATCGTAATAATAATAATCATCACAATAATAATAGCTTCTGTCAGACATGACCTACTGACCTTTCAAGACATTGTTGATGTAATCCTGGTAGTAATTGATCCGGTAGGGATCGTCCAATGAGGAGTTCCGGTCAGAGACGCCATTTTCAGTGATGTATATTGGGATATCACCGTAATGGTTGCGGACAAAGTTCAAGTTCTTGCGAATACCGATAGGGTTAACTCTGAGCCAGCTAGAGCCAGTCCTGCAGATGAATGAAATATTTGTGGAATTAATTACTACAACAACGAGTAGTTTCTGCTCTGTAGCTCTGGAGACCTGAAAAACTGGTCATGCATTAAGACAAACGGATTCTATCTAGAATGTAGCCAGGAAACTCGGGAAAGGAAAACCACAGAGATAACATAAAGGGTGAATGTTTCGACCTAAGTCTATATCAACGAGAAAAAACGTGTTGAGTAAAATGGGGTGATTCTCCCGTGTGGCACCGGGGCCCTCACGGGAAGTAAAGAAATAGTGACACTGCACCCTACCAGGCATGTCGTAAGAGGCGACTAAGGGTAGGGTTGGGCGTGAGATTGGCTACCTCATCCTGTAAAAACCATAGTCACAAAAACCAACCAACCATGGATAAGTCAAAAAGAGAAGCAAGTAAAACCCAGCCAACCAAGATGAGGGAAGGCTCTTCAAATAGAAGAAGTATGAAGTTAGAAAGATGGGGAGGACATGGGGGAGAGCACCATGGAAGGGCAAAGGTTAGAACAACTTGGCGTGAGTTGGTTGAGGGCCTATGCTCCATTGGGGGATAGAAAGGCAGAAGAAGAAGAAAATGGGGTGATTGCATTGTGGCTTATAGTGTGAAATAACGGCACTAAACACTTTGACTCAAAAGTTCAAGTGGAAGGGAATACTAAGAAGGCTCGAGGGGTTAAAGGCAGGTATGACAACATTAACAGTCAGAGCCGATTCTGGATTTAGGCTTAAGCTAATTAAGTTCCAGATTAGGGCCTCATATTATGCAGAGGCCTAACAAAATTCATTTTTCCCTTTACAATGCAGTGTTCATCTTTAAAAAAAAAAAAAAAAAACAGGAACTGTCCAGTTTTAAAATATATACGGAGAGACAGCTTGGAAATAGAGTGGCAGAGCACATACCTAAATGGCTACATACACAGCTCGGTGATTCTTCAAGGTTGCCGAGACCAGTCAAGGGGAAAGAACCCGCTTCTTCAATAGGACGTTATCTACTTAATTTCGGACACGTAATTGACACAGACAGTGCTTTCCGTGTGGTTTACCACGCTCCAAACAAGAGACTGTTAAGAATCGCTGAAGCCTTAACAATTAAAATCAACAACTCCCTTCTTTGTAAGCAGACGTAGTAATTGTAAATTTGAAGTTACCCTGGTAAGTCACGTGAGTACGGTGAACTTCCGGCGGCCAAATAACACACACGATGTGTCGAAAGAAACTATTGGCATTTCAGCTGGATTTATTCAGTTTAGTGCATCATTTTATGTTGATGTAACTCTGTAGTAACGCACCTGATGAGATACAGCGAAATATGCCTGGCAATAAATTCTGCAATGCATTGTGTCCGCATTATTTAAGAAATATTATTTTGGGTATCTTATCTCGTGATTTTATTTATTTGAACTTTTTGTTGCCTATTTATATTGAATGAAAATCAGCCTGATATACGTCAACTTCCACGTTTCATTAACGTATGAATTTAAAGGTTTACTGAAATTACCTGGCGTAATTTGATACGGAAGTTACCCTGGTAAGTCACATGACTACCGTGAACTTCCGAGTCAGAGCTTTATTTAGCTTAGGGCCTCATCAATTCTAAATCTGGACTCAGAGCAGCTTTCTGCTGGGTTGAGAACCACCTGTCCACGCAGGTCGTGACTGTAACTACCTCAGAAGCAGCTGTCTACGCAGGTCGTGACTGTAACTGCCTCAGAAGCAGCTGTCCACGCAGGTCGTGACTGTAACTGCCTCAGAAGCAGCTGTCTACGCAGGTCGTGACTGTAACTGCCTCAGAAGCAGCTGTCTACGCAGGTCGTGACTGTAACTGCTCAGAAGCAGCTGTCTACGCAGGTCGTGACTGTAACTGCCTCAGAAGCAGCTGTCTACGCACGTCGTGACTGTAACTGCCTCAGAAGCAGCTGTCTACGCAGGTCGTGACTGTAACTGCCTCAGAAGCAGCTGTCTACGCAGGTCGTGACTGTACCTGCTCAGAAGCAGCTGTCTACGCAGGTCGTGACTGTAACTGCCTCAGAAGCAGCTGTCTACGCAGGTCGTGACTGTAACTGCCTCAGAAGCAGCTGTCTACATGGGTCTATAAAATACAGGCCTAGCCCTATATACCCAATAAACACAAAGGCGTGAGAAAGTGTCTTTTACTATTACTAGGGAATTTAGGTAAAATAATATTAGACATAAAATGAGAAAGTGAAGTTAGAGAGTTTGTGTAAAAGTCTAGTAGACAATACAGTAGAAAACCTGAAGGTAGAACTTACTCGAGCCAGTCTGGGTTCTTGTATGTGACCACTCGCTGATCGCCATAGTAACCCTCGCCACTGGGCCCGTCATATGCGACATTACTGGTGTAGTGGTTGAGACCCAGGAAGTCCGCCGTGCCTGGATAGAGGATTATACGGGAGTAGAAACAGGTGAGACATCATTCATCACCATTACTAGACTTATTTCAATCATTGCCATAATCATTTTCATGATATTTATCTTCATCTTTATCGAAATTAATATCCTATCACAATGATCATCATTACCTTCATCATTATCGTCAATAAACACTTTAATACAATCATTTTCTTAATCACAATCATCATAAGCAAAATCACATTAAGGAGAAGAAGCAGATGAAGAAGCAGGAGAAGGAGGAGGCGAAAAGAAGAAGATTAAAAAGAAGATTAAGAAGAAAAAGGAGAAGAAGAAGAAGAAGAAGAAGAAGAAGAAGAAGAAGAAGAAGAAGAAGAAGAAGAAGAAGAAGAAGAAGAAGAAGAAGAAGAAGAAGAGAAGAAAGAAAGAAGAAGAAAAAGAAGAAGAAGAAGAAGAAGAAGAAAAGAAGAAGAAGAAGAAGAAGAAAAAAAGAAAAGAAGAAGAAGAAGAAGAAAAGAAGAAGAAGAATCCGATTGTGAAGAAGAAGATAGAAGAAAAGAAGAAAACAGAAAAACAAGTACCAGAAGAAGAATAGTTTTTTTTTTTTTGTCTTTCCGCTAATCCGATTGTGCACTTTATTTATTTATATGTATACAAAGTAGAAAACATAAAATCAACACTGTACCACTAATGCGCTGCTTCTCTGGGATGTGAACTCTGGCTTACAACACACAAGACACATTCGACAACACTTTACTATTATTGTGCTGTTTCTCATCGGTTGTAAAATCTAGTTTAGAACAGACACAGGACACATTCGACAACACTTTACTATTATTGTACTGTTTCTCATCGATTGTCAAATCTAGTTTAGAACAGACACATGACACATTCGACAACACTTTACCGTTAATGCGCTGCTTCTCCTGGGGTGTGAACCCTGGCAGCCTGGATGTAGCCAGACCCTCGCTAGCGCTGGCATTAGCTACGAACTCCTTCATGACTTCAGGATAGTCGCCGTTGACGAAGATGGATGTGCGAACCAGCCAATGAAGAACTGTATCGCTCTGTCTGCAGCCTCGATGTCGCTTTGTTTGGTTGGGTCTTCTGGGTCGTACCAGTCACAGTTCAATGTTATTCCAACTTGGCCTGTTATGTGAAAATATATGTGCTAATTTACCAAGGGATTCATAGTGTCTGACACGCATTCGTTATTGCGAAGAGGGTAATAATAAACAACTGTGGCATTATGCATTATCGACACGTCTAACTTACTGGGAATCACGTGGATATAGTAGATCTTTCTTCTTCTTTTGTCAATATCTGCTCATGCCGCTCGGCGTCTCAGTTGATCAGATGATCGGCAGCCGAGCCAGGTCGCTTGATATGCCTTGATGTTATGCAGTCTCCAGGTGTCAGTGATTCCTTCAATCCATCTTCTTCTCGGTCTTCCCCTGCCTCTTAGTGTTTTGATTTTCAGGTTGAACGCTTTTGCTGTTGACATCGTAGGTTTTATTCTCATTAGATGACCAAACCATTTCATTCTTTGTCAATAAATTTGACGACGCGTGTTCTTCCAGCAGTTCTTGTGATTACGTCGTTTCTCACTCTCTTATAGTTTATTCACAGCCATTCTCAAACATGTCATACCACAGGGGGTTAGTTTTCTCTCGTGTTTGTGTGTGTGTGTGTGTGTGTGTGTGTGTGTGTCAATGACCATGTCTGACACTTGTAGCCTAAAGTCAGTATAAATATGGTATTTAGAACTTGGCTTTCTGTCTCTATTTGGATAGCAGGGTGTTTTAAAATTAGAGCAAATTGGTACGTGACATTGTTGGCTTGTTGGATTCTCGTTTCTATCTCTCTGTCTATTTTACCATTGTATGTAAAGATGCTTTCCCAGTATTTAAATTCCTGCATTTGTTTTAGACTTTCATCTTTATGTCGATGGTTTGTTGCTCTCTACTGAATCTTATGCTTATTCTTATTATTATTGTTCTCTGTGTGATTTTTAAGGCAACTTTCATGTAGTTGGTTTACAGGAGACCTTTACTACGATATAATGATGCGCTCAAGTGGGGCATGAATGATAAAGGTACTACGGTGGATTCCTAGGAACAAAATGCTATGGACCGTGTGGCGTGAAGGGGACCGATCAGGAAGGAAAGGAGAATGAAGCAGAGAAAAAACAGGAAAGGAGCTGAGAGTATGAGAAGAAATACACTAAAGATATATAATGCCAATAACGTTCCGGAAATCCCCTGCTATAACTGTGTATGATGTTTCGTAAAACGGGCGGGTTTTGCTAGTCACACTCGCCATCGCCATGGACTGTAAGTCTTATGCCTCATCGTAGCACATTATAGCACCATCGTCTGGAAAGACAGAAAGGTGGCTAAGCGAATATATTAGCTGGGACATAGAGGAGTGTGTGATAATGAAAGTTCAGCTTTTGTGGCTCCAAAAGTGATTTTTCCCGGAACAGTACAGCAGACAAGGGAGACAAACCGAGGAACATGATAGCGGACAAGGGAGACAAACCAAGGAACAGGATAGCGGACAAGGGAGACAAACCGAGGAACAGGATAGCGGACAAAAGAGACAAGCACAGGAACATTTATAAAGTAAAACTAATATAAGATCTTGTATTAGAGAAAATACCATGCAAAAAGTGTGTAAGTGTTTGAGACACCAGGCAGTACACTCACCCTTTTGAGAAGCCCTGTAAACTAACTGCTCTGAGACACCGGGTAGTACACTCACCCTTTTGAGAAGCCTTGAACTTCTCCTGATATAGATGATAGGTCTCAGCATGTGCCAGAAGGATGTTGTGAGCCACACGGTAAGGACCGTCCTTGATGTCCTTCAAGCCTGGAGCATCTTGTCCTACCCCATGTCCCAGGACACTGGTCACCCATGGCTCGTTGAATGTGATCCATTTGCTAACCTGTTTGATAACAGTTCAATATTAGTGTGGTAGTGTACCAGAGCTTGTGGTGCAGGGGGCAGCTTCCAACAGAAGATTGATATAGTACTTATAACAATGAGTACGGTATTTACAAAATTAAGTATGGTATTTACAACACCGAGTACAGCGACAACAATAAGTACGACATTTACAACAGTGAGTACGTATTTACAAAAAATAAGTACGGTATTCACATCAGTAAACACAGTATTTACACCCGTAAGTACTGTATTTACGACAGTAAATACGGTATTTACACCAGTAAGTACGGTACGTTACCTTGCTGCCAAATTCCCTGAAGCAGAGCTCTGCGAAATCCCGGTACCACTGGACAATGGCTGGGTTGTACCATCCGCCCAGATCCTGAAGACCTTGGGGCAGATCCCAGTGGTAGATGGTCACCATTGGCTTCACACCTGGGGATGATTGACTCTTACATGATAGGACATGAAAAAAAAAACAAGGCACGCTAATTAAAACCTTTGTTTATGTCATAGAAAGAAAAGGGGACTTCGTGGTCTCGAGGCATGGTGACTGCCGGGTTCAGTCATCGGTAAGGGGTGGGATTTGTTTGGTCTTGGACTTCCAGTGATTCCTCCTGGTCTCTGTGTAGTAGGACCGGACGTCTTGCGGACGTAAACAATCTTCTGGCAGTTGGAAATCGAAAAAAGTAGCCTAACGGCGCAAACTTTGGAGTTAAAAATCTACCCAAAGTATTTCAGAATCTTCACCGGTGCTACAGAGTCTATGCACTGTGCTGAGCATCTTCGACTCGGACTCAGACTTGAGTTAGAAGAAGAACGGAGCACTCATGGGTTACTACCCGTGCGCCATAATGTTGATCCGTTGTTCAAACCTCAAACCTCAGAAAGACAAGTAAAAAGACAATTGTTTTCACGCTTTCAGTGCTACTATCTAGATCTAAATCTAGAGGCAAGCTTCGGAAAGACAAGATAATTAACTAATTGCATATGAAAGATCTCCGAGCTGAAGTGGTTGAGATGTCTACCTCTCGCTCACAAGGCTAGCCGTTTTGTTTCGAACTCTATCATTCCTTCACAAGTGCACTTTTAATGAAATCTCCGACGGCAATCGTTAGCTATTGTGTTTTGACATTGCTTTTGGCAAGCGGTCAGCCTCTCATTGAAGACACATTATATGTTTTAAACAACCATGCTATGTATTGATTGACACTCATAGAAAGATGTAGAAAGATAGGAGGACACAGAGAGCTTGAAAATCGAAAGCCATAGTTAGTGTGCCAGGAATAGAACCTAGCTTTTTCTAAGGACGAATGCAACTCGCTATGCAACTATATACTAATTAATATACTAACTAAGCACCCTAAAAAGATGTCTTCATTGACCGTTTCTGTCATAGAGTTTGAGATCTACAACTTTGGAATATGGACAGACTTCGTCTCAGACCATTGCAATAGCACCATGAAGAGACTGAACTATAAAAGACAAATCATTGGACTGTGAAGAGGATCCTTCTGTCTGTAAACACATACAACCTGGTCGAGGCTAGCTCTATCCGTACAACGGCTAGCACAGTTGCCTGCTGACCCAATGGTTAGATTCGAATCTCGTTGAGATGGAGACATTTTTAGTGACTTTTTTGGTGCACTTTGCTAAATTCTGATATTTGACAGTGCTGGGTCTATCTGGGCGTCTTTTGGCGATTTAAATTGACAAAAAAGCTTACAAAGAACGTGATAACATCCGACGGGAATGGAGGTGGAGGCAGGAACAGTAGCTTCAGATGGTTGAGGCTAGTACTGCCCACCAGCTGAAATTGTCATTGACTCGTAAAGCTTACTTCGGACAACTAGAACATCTCATTTCACCGGTGGCCAGTTTTTTGTCGTGTTCTATAGTCAATGTTCAAATGTGTTGTAGTCTAATTCAAACAGTGATTTGAGCTTTAACAATATATATATATATATATCTTCTTCTTGAAGTACATGCCGGTTGGAGTTGGTAGTCATGTCTATCCACAACTTTCTGTCTCGTGTAGTTTCAGGTAACTTTCGGTCTGCCTCTGCCTCTCCCTTCTCCAACTTTTCTACCGTCACGACGTACTCCAGTTTACTCCTTTTCATCACATGACCAAAGAATGTGTGTTGTCTCTTTCTGATGCGGGAAATCAGTCCTGTCCGTGAGTCTGTTTCTTTCAAGACGTCTTCTTAACTCTTTCTATCTCTCCAGGGTATTCTCATCATTCTCATAAATCCATAAAACCACATTTCCGCAGCTTGTAAATAGGTTTTCACTAATTTACTAACTGTCCATGATTCATATCCGCATATCAATATAGGATTTATGTATCCTTTAAGAATTCTCTCTCTCATCTCAAATGACCCAAAAAAAAAAAAAAAAAACTGCATAAAATATTCTTCATTTTGTAAAATGCTGCCTCTGCTTGAGCTATTCGACATTTAACTTCCTTAATACATCTTCCATCTGATGTTATCATATATATATATATACAGCACACATGTATAGTAAAATAGTGATCAGTCTTACAGAAACTGTACCTATTTCGATGAGTTTGTCTAGAAGCCTGTTGTAGTAGTCAATGCCGGCCTTGTTTGAGGGCAAAGTTCCGTTAGGTAAGACTCTCGTCCAGGCGATGGAGAACCGGTAGTGGGTCATCTGGACAAGGAGATCGTAGCAAAACTGTCAATTTGAACTAACGCTTTTGGGAGGTACGTGTGCGGCCCTAACAACCCCCCCCCCCCCCCCCCATTTCAAGGAATTAAAGAGAAAAAACTTTGCATCCCCCCCTCCCCCATTTTTTCTCCCGTCATGTATATTGTAAAAGGCAACTAGTCTCCACTCTATTCATCCCACATGCTGCAAATCCCTAATCTACTTACCTTTATCCTAATGTCATATATTTCTAGTCTACTTACCTCAGTGCCATGCATATGTAATCTATTCTACTCACTGTCGTATCTACTTACTCAACTGCTATGCATCTCTAATCTATTTACCATACTGTTTTCATTATGTAACCTATTTGCTCTCCACCCCACCCAGTCCACGTCGGCAACTTCTTTAATCTATTTTATTCCCATATCCTGAATCTGTAGTCAACTCACCACCGTGTCCTTAATCAACTCACCCCTGTGTCCTGAATCAACTCACCCCCGTGTCATGAATCAACTCACCCCCGTGTCCTGAATCAACTCACCTCCGTGTCCTGAATCAACTCACCCCTAAGTCCTGAATCAACTCACCCCTAAGTCATGAATCAACTCACCCCCGTGTCCTGAATCAACTCACCTCCGTGTCCTGAATCAACTCACCCCTGTGTCCTGAATCAACTCACCCCCATGTCATGAATCAACTCACCTCCGTGTCATAAATCAATTCACCCCTTAGTCCTGAATCAACTCACCCCTAAGTCCTGAATCAACTCACCCCTAAGTCCTTAATCAACTCACCCCCGTGCTCTGAATCAACTCACCCCCGTGTCCTGAATCAACTTACCCCTAAGTCCTGAATCAACTCACCCCCGTGTCCTGAATCAACTCACCCCTATGTCATGAATCAACTCATCCCCGTGTCCTGAATCAACTCACCCCCGTGCCCTGAATCAACTCACCCCCGTGTCCTGGATCAGCTGAATGTCCTCATCCAACTTGTGGTAGCTGTCGCAGGCAACATCTCCGGTTTCGTTGTTCTCGATGTGACCCGGGATGTGGGTAAAGTTGTCCCAGATACTTGGACCTTTGCCTGAGAGTAGATAACTAGGATGTTAGCTAACTGAATACAGTTTCATTTTACCTGATATACGGAAAGACATAAAAAAATACATATACACGCGCGCGCGCACACACACACACGCGCACACACAGATGTGAAAACAAAGAGACAAAATTAGACAGATTCTGTAAGATGAAAATTGATACAACAAAAATGCACACATGAAAAAGAAAGACAGATAGACAGACAGACAGATAAGAAAAAAAACAGAGCTAGACGGACCTAAAAAAAAAAAAAAAACATACAGACAATGAAGCTAGGCAACGAAATAGTTATAAAGGCAACAAGAGACACAAGGGGAACAGACTGATTTACAAATAGACAGACCACAGACAGCAGACATGTAGACAGAGTAAACAAACGAGAGAACGGAACGAACTTTACTTTCATAGGGTCCCCAATTGTGCACGCAGGCCTGTCCTACTTTCAACCATGCCGCCCCTTCATATTTCACAAGGTAACTGAACGTTAAGTTCACAGACAGACACCTAAACAGACAAGCAAAAGACACATATATATGTCTAACAATATTACCGTCCTCATTCCAGGCGCCCTCCACCTGGTAGGCAGCGGTGGCCAGGCCCCAACTAAAACCTTCAGGGAACTTGCCATAGAGGAACTGGTCAGTCAGCTGGACAGCAGTGCCCCAGCCTCCCTTCTGTGTGTAGCCGGGTTTGAATCTGTTTAAAAAAATATTATCCACACATGTAATATTTAGTTCATAATCATCAGAAGTATGGTCCTACTGTACCGTTATTGCGTCACATTAAACACACAACTGATAAACTGGCAGGCGCTGCATTATATAAAGATGGCTGGCCAAGGATCACGCAGACATTGTCACTGTCCTCAGAGACATAGGACGTTCTGCGGATTTTGGAAGCAACGTGTCCACATCACTGTTAAGAATACGCGAATTGGGAGTAAAGATCGGCACAGCCAAGCATGAGAAGCACACTGGACGCACACGAAGTCTTGTTAACCAACATAGGACTGGTACTATTAACTGCACGACGCTGATGCATATGTTGAGAGGGGAATCTGAACGCCTATGGATGTGCCCGGAGTGCTGTGAAGATAATCTAACTCATAACTCATAACTCATGAGTCACAAAGGGTTCACAGCCTAGTCCTTCGATCGTTTTCAATATCAGGGTTGCAATCCACTCGAGCGCCTTTGGCTGTTTTAAACAACGCTGGCCTCAGGATTTCGCCGGGCCGTCTTTGTTTTCTCAGTAGATGTTTTTCGTTGTTGTGCATGTATAGCCTAATGTGCCCATTGGAACACGTTAGGCTCAGAGCTGAGTGGATGGAAACACCATAAACATTTATAGGAGCACATTGAGGTTACAATAAGCCAAGGGAGATACTGCAGATAATGGAGTAAAACTGCAGCTGATGAGCACACTCGACCAGGTGACGTTTTTTTCTATACAGATGATGTGGTACGGTCTGAATGACTTTACATATCGCAGGTGAATTGGCAGACAGTAAAAGAAGACAATTCTGCATTTGGTTCAAATGCTTCTAGCATGGCGATGGAGATAGCAGCTGGCACAGGGGAAATTGCAAGGCTGACGGAGCAGAAAGCTTCGGCGTTGATAGTAATGGACTCAGTGAACATGCTTGATTTGATTGATTTGATTTGATTTGATTTGATTCAAGAACTGACATCACAGCACTCGGGGCATTCCCATAAGCGCTCCGTCCCCATCTTCAGCAGACAGCGAAGAGTTCCGATACTAATGGTGCCAGTAGCTTTCTGATTAAACGTCCGTCTTGCCTTTCCTCTCAGCCTTGAGCTTCTGCCAGAACCTCTCGTCACCCTTAACTGCATCAATCTCACCAAACTGTGGTGATCCATCTGCTCCTCCGCATTGTACACGCTCTCCCACAAGGCACTAACAACGCCTGCCCTATCATGTAGCAGTATTCCAACGTTGTGCAGAGCCAGCCAGTCTGTCCGCCTGTTCATTTCCCAACACACCGGCATGACCCGGTGAAAAAATCCAGACAATACTCCTCACCCGTGTCCTCCGCAGCGAGGCATGCCAATCTGCAAAAAGCATACCTGTTCTGATCTTCCTCAGCATGCTTTCTGAATCAGTTAAAATTACAATGTGTGTGTGTGTGTCGTGTTCTCTAGCCAGCGGAAAGCTGCAGTGACCGCCTCCACCTCCATTCTTAAGCTGGATGTTGTGGTATCATATGCTAGGCTCTCCTGCACCAAACGTCGACCATTAACTTTTGCTAAAAAGCCCCAAGCACTTCTTTTGCCTCTTGACACTGAACCGTCTGTGTAAATGATCAAATCCTCTGAGCGAGCATTATCTTGAATTAATTGCTGAATTTCCACCTCTGTGGCACCTGCTGGCCAGTCTCTGCATTCCCGGCTCAGCGTGATTATGACTCTACACAAGTCTGACTGTTCAGACTGACCCACTCTTCTCCTCGCTAATGTTCTCAAGGATGCAAACTTGTCTCATTGTGTCTTCAGCCTGAGCCATCCATGACCTCCCTCTTATCAGCCGCTGACCCTTAACTGCACCCAGAGCTTCATGCAGAGGGTGGTCTGTGTCTGCAGCTACCCTGAGATATGACTTCGCCTGCAGCACCTTGTGCCTACCTGCAACCGTCGGCAAACGAAGTATGTATCGCATACACACCACTGGGGTGTCTCTGGTGCAACCCAGAATGACCCGCATAGCCGCATTCTGTATGCGCTCTAGTTTGCCCATCTGACTCTTTGAGACGGTAAGCTGTCAGAGGCCATAATCCACCACTGACAGGATTAGGTGCTGATATAGTGTGAAAAGCATTCTCTGCTCTATGTCAATTGCAGTGAACATGCTTTAGAAGATCTAAACTGGCAGGCGCCTACTAGAATAGGTTGACAGCACCCAGAAGTCCCGCCTGAAGAAACTATGTTGGCTGTAAACACCGGGACAGACATGAGTGAAAGGAAATGAAAGAGCTGACGGACTGGCCGTGTCTGCAGTGGCTGCTGGATGAAGAAGTACGGACAGGGCCGGTATGCCAAATGCGCTGTGTTCTAGAGACGTGGAAATCAGAGGCAATGAACCGCCTGTTAGAAGTATGAATTAACTAAAGACAAGCAAAAAGAAAGCGGTTACGGGGTACAGAAAGAAGCTGTTCCTGCTGGGTATGTTGAGCATGGAGAGAGACACTGAGATGGTAGCAGCATGGAAAAGCAGAGCACGAGTCGGTCGGACCGAAGTGATAGGATGTCGATATGCTGGGATGTGGAAGTGCTAGGATGTCGAAGTGCTAGGATGTCGATATGCTAGGATGTCGAAGTGCTAGGATGTCGATGTGCTAGGATGTCAATAAGGATAACAAGTTAAAAGTAACAAACGTGTACAGTTGAATTATCTTCTGCTTCTTCCCGCCCTGCAGACCTACCAAGTATAATGCCATTGTTTTTTGTTGTGTAACTATATAGACGTATATTCATTTCAGTCGAACGTAGTTTTGACATGAGTCTGTCTCCACCTAGAGGCAGGTGTCTATGATAACCGCAGCCTGGGGTGGTGGGGGCAGGTGATGACCAGTATGACCTGTGGTGGTAATGGTGCAACACCGTGTGTAGCGCAGCTGCTCAGCACCATACAGAAATCAATATCAGTGACCAGGAAATACTTATACAATATGAACAGAGGAAGCCGTCGTGGTGTAGAGGCTAGAAACTCGCCTGCGGATCAGAGGGTCGTAGGTTGAGGTCCTGACAGAGCAGGAAAGTTTTAAAAAATGGCCTTGGCTCCCAGGTCGAGCCAGCCTTGAGTGCGTACCTGGCAAAGTTCTGGTAGGTAAAGGCGGCCGGCGTGATGTTGACCACATTACCCATCAAGTGCCGACAGGTCTATAAAATAAAGGTCTAGCCCTATATACCCAACACGCCTGAAGGCGTGGAAAACGGTCCTCTACTTTACTCTCAAATAAGCTGATCTAATTATCTTCGTCTTTTTCTTCCAAGAGGTCGCCAGGTGTATACTCCGTAGTAAGCATCTGGTGTTACTATATTTCTGGACTTTGGTTTCGTTGCGGAATTTGAGATTCGCTTGCAGATCCACTGTTCAGGTGTGGCTCATTTGTATACAGACTGGTAGTGCCTCAACCCTCAGGTAGATGAACTCCGACTACGAGAGAAACACCCCTAATTAGTCGGCTTTTACGACATGCTTGTTGGCAGCAGTAGGTCTATTCTTTTCATAAGAATAGGGCCCCAGGATATTCATGTAGAAATATGTAAATTTTAGGCTCGTCTCCCCATTTACACACCGCTACACACTAGCTCACTTCTGATTGGATAACCTACTGACCACCTCACATCTGAAAGGTCGGCCTCGAGCTATCCGACTTTCACACAAGGTCACGGAGATATTCCACACTCGCGCTCATACAACGTGTTGTATATTTCACCATGCCAGAGCTTTTAACACTTCTAAAACATTAAGATATTGGGTCTAACACACAACCCCCGCTACAGAGTGACAAAACCTATGTCACAGGCCGACTCTTTCTCGGAAATAAAAACGTAAATACCAGACGACAACAAACTGCGACATCCAAAACCTCGACCACGGTAGACTAGTCCAACCAACTTATGAATGGAGTTGACCTACAACTGGTGTGATGCAATCGTAAAAATAACCTAGAAATACTCTTACAAAGACAGTAGTCGATTGAAAAGTTGAAATCAACGAACAGATACAAATGGAAGCACAACAACAAGAGATAGTGAAACAACAGTTTGAGAGTGTTTAACAAGGCGAGAAACAATACTGATAATCCACTGAAGCGAATCTTCACTGTTGGTCAGTATATGGGTAATTAATTCCATTAAATAACTAGTGGATTTAATGATTTGTCAAAAACGGATCTTTCGACATATTTACCCTCCATCAGCGATCAAGGTTTTATACCACAGGGCAGATGCCTTGGGAGTTCGAGGACGTTCCGGGTCGCTGAAGTTGACGTAATGGAGGCCAAACTTTTGATCGTAGGCTGACCCCCACTCAAGGTTGTCCAAGAGAGACCAGGCAGTGTAACCTTTGACATTGCAACCGTCCAGCTTGATAGCTGCAAGGTAAAAAGTCAGAAGTTTGAGGATTGGAGGCAAGGTAAAAGACTCTCAAAGGTCCCATTTACGTTTTCTGGCCTATCGACAAACTTTCTCAGTCTGATCTAGGTCAGAAAGGTGTCACGTTGCAATGCTTTTTGTCCTTTTTCGAAAAGAGTCTCTCTTGTGAACTAAGTTAAAGCTGTGGGTGGGGGGGGGGGGGGGGTTGAGTTAGTGCCATCTCTGCATATTCTGGGGTCGTTGAACGCTGTGTTGTCGTGTAGTATAGAAAACGCGACATCAGCGCTGTCGTAACTGGAGACAAGACAACGTGACACCCCTCTGACGTAGAGCAGTCTGAGAAAGCATGAATAAAAAGTCAGCCAGTGTATAGATGGGCCGGAGAGTGTGAATATGATCATTTAAAACAATGCGGATACAAACATTGAACTATTTATTGCCACGTATAATTCGCTGTATCTGGTCATTGCTACAGATTTACGTAAAGACATAATGGAGCACAAAAGCTACATTAATTCCACTGAAATAAATATCACATATTCGAAATACACTGTCGTCTTGTCGCCTGAAGTTCATGACAGTCAACTGACTTACAGGGGTAACTTGTGAACTTCCAGCGTTTGTAATTAGTAAGTTAGTTAGTTGGGTTATCATCGTTGCACTCCGGACATGCCCATAGACACTCAGATCCTTCCCTCAGTATGAACCCCAGCAAACGGTGGCTAATAGTTCCAGTTCTTTTTTGATTAACAAGTCCTCTGATGTGTCTGATGTGCGTCTCGTTTTCTGCTTTGCCGATCATAGTTCCCAAGTCTATCATTTGGCGAGAGATGTGGATTCACTGCCTCCCAAGTCTATCATTTTGGCGAGAGATGTGGATTCACTGCCTCCCAAGTCTATCATTTTGGCGAGAGATGTGGATTCACTGCCCCCAAAGTCCTCCACCCTTCCCATTTCTTGGAGGGCATTATTAACATCAACATGATCCGAAGGTTGACCGGAACCGCATACCGAGAGAAACCATTTGTATTTCAGTGGAATTAATTTAGTGTTTGTGCATCATTATGTGTTGATCTAGCTCTGCAGTGACGCACCTGACGAGATAGGGCTATATATGCCTGGCAATAAACTTTGAAATGGATCCTTTCGGGAAAACATTCTTAAAATCATAGACCACAAGAGATTGGAGATGTAGTTAGTAATTGCAATAATTTGCCATGTGTCCTTTCTTTTATTATGTCCTTACTTCTTTCTTTCTCACTCCTCACCTAATATGGGGTGTATCTTTGATATCACACATGCACGCGCACGCACACGCACACGCACACACACACACACACACACGCACACACACACATACATACACTCACCCTTAATGTTTCTTCATATCCTTATGATTTTAAAATTTATAATTGCACAGATGCTGCTGTTTTCTTACAGTAGCGAATTTCTTTTATCTTTGTTTGGGGAATAATTTGTCTACCCTAAAAATAGAATATACAGTAACTGACACATGCATGGAGATTGTCTGCTATGTGCACCGATGCAGTGTGATAATTTTGGTAATGTATCTGGCATACAATGAAAAAATCAGCAGCATACAGAAGGCTAGTGCTGCAGATGACTACCTGGGACCCAAACGCCTATGACAGGTGTGCAATGTAATATTTTGACAAGTTTTCTTTACTTAAAACTAAAGATTTGATCAACATCCTGGCACACGGGTAGTAACCCATAAGTGCTCTGTTTTTCTTCTAACTCAAGTCTGAGCCCGAAGAAGCTCAGCACAGTGCACGGGCTTTGTAGCACCAGCGAGGATCCTGAAATACTTTGTGTAGATTTTTAACTCCAAATGTTGCCCAGGCAGCGCCGTTAGGCTACTCTTCTCGATGTATGGAAACTAGATCTCTGTTTGCATGAAACAACAAATCTGACAACGGCATGATTTTAAACAGCTGCGTGCCAAGTGTCTACTACCTGCCCCGAACGGTTACTTGGGTTACTTGGGTTGCTTGGGTTACTTGGGTTACTTGGGTTACAGATTTGTAAAGTTGGGCATAACTTTTGGAACTGAGTATTGCACTGACTCCTCCACACAATGACAGTCATCAGACTCCCTCACACACCGACAGTTATCAGACTCCACCACACAATGACAGTCATCAGACTCCCTCACACACCGTCAGTTATCAGACTCCACCACACAATGACAGTCATCAGACTCCCTTACACACCGACAGTTATCAGACTCCCCCACACACCGACAGTTATCAGACTCCCTCACACACCGACAGTTATCAGATTCCCTCACACACCGACAGTTATCAGACTCCCCCACACACCGACAGTCATCAGACTCCCTCACACACCGACAGCTATCAGACTCCCCCACACAATGACAGTCATCAGACTCCCTCACACACCGACAGTGATTAGACTCCCTCACACACCGACAGTTGTCAGATTCCCTCACACACCGACAGTTATCAGACTCCCCCACACACCGACAGTTATCAGATTCCCCTACACATCGACAATTATCAGATTACCTCACACACCGACAGTCATCAGACTCCCTCACACACCGACAGCTATCAGACTCCCCCACACAATGACAGTCATCAGACTCCCTCACACACCGACAGTGATTAGACTCCCTCACACACCGACAGTTATCAGATTCCCTCACACACCCACAGTCATCAAACTCCCTCACACACCGACAGTTATCAGACTCCCCCACACATCGACAATTATCAGACTCACTCACACACCGACAGTTATCAGACTCCCCCACACACCGACAGTTATCAGACAGCCTCACACACCGACAGTCATCACACAGACCCCTCACACACCGACAGTCATCACACACACCCCTCACACACCGACAGTCATCACACACACCCCTCACACACCGACAGTCATCACACACACCCCTCACACACCGACAGCCTTCACACAGACCATACACTCTGTCAACCAGTGCCCATTCTGCTGACCTTTCAGAAGTTCGTTGATATACAGACGATAGTAGTGCACGCGGTGCCAGTCCAAGAGTGTGCCGTTGGTGTCACTGATACCGTTCTCAGTGACGTAGACAGGGATGTTGTTGTAGCGGTACTTGAACAGGTTCATCACTTTACGGATGGAGAATGGGCTCACTCTGAGCCAATAGGAACTAGTTCTGAAATGGACACACATTTGCTTAATTAACAAACAGTATGAGATGAGCACAATATGCTGGACTTTCCCCATGTGGGTCACGTGGTCCCATTTTGGGAGAAATAAAAATAAAAGACTCTCTACACTCCTAACAAGCATGTTGTGAAAACAGAATAAGAGATGTCTGAAGTCGAATGGGTTGTGTCAAAAGGCGCAGATATCACAGCCAAGCTGTAAACTACAAGACAACGTGTCAGCCACCCTTTTAATGGTGACCGCAGATAAATTCAGGTAATAGGTCTTAGGTTTAATAAAAAGGAAAAGAATAATTGGATTGCGTTCAAGTTTAAGCTCATCCGAGCATTTGCTTAGAATTACGATCTTTATTGTTCAGTACTTGTTCTGGCTAGCGGCGTCCGTGGCTAAGGCGTTGCGAGTCCGACTCGTAAACCAGCATACCGCGATCGAAACCCACTGCAGGCTGCGTGGATTTTTGTCGTGGTATGGGACGTCGCAGGTCGACCCAGCCTAAAATGGGTACCAGGATGGGCTGTCCTGGGAAAGTAAAGACAGCCGGCGTAATGCTGACCACATTACCCACAGAGTGCTGATGGTCTGTAAAAATATGGGACGCTCTTCCCATATGCCCGATGCGCCGAAAGGCGTGAAAAGGGAACTTTACTTGTTACTTACTTACTTGTTCTGGCTAGGTTTCTCGTAATTCTACTATGTCTTGTTGTCAGTTGCCGTTTATCTGATGTGTATCATCTTATCAATTGAATTCTTGTAACATGACGGTGTTGATTTCCAAGGAGTTGGTGTTCGCTGTACTTTCTTCTTGTGTGGTCTGATTCGTTTCCCGACAAGAGAGGTATACTGCATGTTTATTACAGTAAAGGATTCGAGGAACTTTAGCCAGTAAACCAAATGTGTGTGGTCTCAGCCATGGAGGTTGGTCGGGGCTGATGTTTGTATACATTGTTGTTGTTTTAGGGTATATTACTTGGTGAGGTCCATATTTCTTCCAGGGTTTGACTCTCATACCACTGGCAGCAACTTACAATAACATTCTTTTTCTTCTTCTTCTTCTTCTTCTTCTTCTTCTTCTTCTTCTTCTTCTTCTTCTTCTTCTTCTTCTTCTTCTTCTTCTTCCTCTTCTTTTTCTTCTTTTTCTACTTCTTCGTCTTCCTTTGCGCGTTTGCGGCTGTAGAATCTGGCGGAAAGGTCTGGGTTTTCGTCCACTTCTGGACTTTGATCTTCTTCTAGAGTTTGAGTATTGCGTGCACATCTGTTTCTTCATCATCATCATTATCACCGTATTATCATCATCATCATTATCAATAGCACCGTTTTCATTATCATCATTCTCACCCTCGTTATTATCATCTTCATCATCTTCATCGTCATCTTCATCTTTAACAACATCATCATCGTCTTTATTATCATCATCATCACCATCCTCCCAATAAAATGTTTATAGATCACATTAAGCTCGCAGTCTAGTCGTCTGTTCCATTCTCTTCTGTGCAATCTTGTCAACATCATCGATGGAATCCAGTCCGGTAGCTTTGGCTTCCCCCATCAACGTTTATTTTACGGTTGCTGCGACGCGTCCTTATTTCTTTCCTAAATCCATCCGCACCCCCCTTGATGTGAGTGCCTGTTTAGTGTTTCTCTTTTCGCTTCAAACCAAGATGTCTCCAATATATTGTCATCTTCTCACTCAGTTCTATAACTGTTGACATCATCAGTTTTCCAGATATTTCTCGTATTTCTTCGCTTTTGTGAATTCATCCTATTTAACGGTGCCCAGTTTTCTCAGGTCAATTTTTTTAAACGCTTTCTTCTTTCGTTCCATGTCTTTAGTGACGCTCCAACTTTTACTGCCTAATGGTAAATTTACAATAATATTAGAACTGAAAAACGTAACTTAGTTCTGAAACTACACAGTTTAGATATCCATATTTTGTTTGGACTTGTCAGTGTGTGTCACTCCCTGGTAAAGTAACTAGTCATGCAAATAGCCTAACTAATCTCATGATTTAATTCTGCTTGTCTCCAGTGGGACTTGTTTGATGCTTTTAACACATTTCTTAGAAACATACTCAAGAAAGTTTGGATCAAATCCTCCCCATATACTATAACATACTCAAGCCAGGTGGGATCAAATCCTCCCTATTACTATAACATACTCAAGCCAGGTGGGATCAAATCCTCCCTATTACTATAACATACTCAAGCCAGGTGGAATAAAATCTTCCTCATTACTATAACATACTCAAGCCAGGTGGAATAAAATCTTCCTCATTACTATAACATACTCAAGCCAGCTTGGATCAAATCTTCCCAATTACTATAACATACTCAAGCCAGGTGGGATAAAATCTTCCCCATTACTATAACATACTCAAGCCAGCTTGGATCAAATCTTCCCCATTACTATAACATACTAAAGCCAGGTGGGATCAAATCTTCCCCATTACTATAACATACTCAAGCCAGCTTGGATCAAATCTTCCCCATTACTATAACATACTCAAGCCAGCTTGGATCAAATCTTCCCCATTACTATAACATACTCAAGCCAGGTGGGATAAAATCTTCCCCATTACTATAACATACTCAAGCCAGGTGGGATAAAATCTTCCCCATTACTATAACATACTCAAGCCAGGTGGGATCAAATCCTCCCTATTACTATAACATACTCAAGCCAGGTGGGATAAAATCTTCCCCATTACTATAACATACTCAAGCCAGGTGGGATAAAATCTTCCCCATTACTATAACATACTCAAGCCAGGTGGGATAAAATCTTCCCCATTACTATAACATACTCAAGCCAGGTGGGATCAAATCCTCCCTATTACTATAACATACTCAAGCCAGGTGGAATAAAATCTTTCCCATTACTATAACATACTCAAGCCAGGTGGGATCAAATCCTCCCTATTACTATAACATACTCAAGCCAGGTGGGATAAAATCTTTCCCATTACTATAACATACTCAAGCCAGGTGGGATAAAATCTTTCCCATTACTATAACATACTCAAGCCAGGTGGGATAAAATCTTCCCCATTACTATAACATACTCAAGCCAGCTGGCATCAAATCCTCCCTTTATTTCCTTGTCGTTGTCGTAGGTGGGCGGGTTTGATGGAGGCTGTGGGTCATCAGTAACCCATGATGCCCCATAGATGTTGGATCCCAGAAAATCCAAGGAACCTGAGGAGATAAAATCAGAATGGGTGTCTGTTATTGTTTGTCTCGGTAGATGTATGTAACTTTGATCTAGAAGATCAGGGCTATTCAACTAAGTTTTCCATGACACAATATATTGGAAATAGCAATGGTCACGGGCCACGTAGACAATAGGGATCGTCACGGGGCAGGCAGAAAATAGCGATAGTCACGGGGCAGGCAAAAAAAAAAAAAAAGATAATCACGGGCCAGACAGAAAATAGGGATAGTCACAGGGCAGGCAGAGAATAGGGATCGTTACAAGCTAGGCTGAAAATAGGGATCAGTACGGCCTAAGCAGAAAATAGGGATCGTCACAGGCTAGGCAGAAAATAGGGATCGTCACGGACCAGGCAGAAAATAGGGATCAGCACGGTCTAAGCAGAAAATAGGGATCAGCACGGTTTAAGCAAAAAAGGGATCATCACGGCCTAAGCAGAAAATAGGGATCGTCACGGACTAGGCAGAAAATAGGGATCGTCATGGGCTCAGCAGAAGATAGGGATCATCACGGGCTAAGCAGAGGCTTGAACCTTAGCATAGACATATCATTATAACTAGCAATGATACGCGGGCCAGTAACTACGTCCACGCGGATCAGACTTGACGGCGGGCCGCCAGTTGAACTGCCCTGGCTAAATTATAATCGGTTATGTTATTGATAATCATTTTCAAACGAGAAAATCAGACTAGGTTCTCTTCCCCCCCCCCCCCCCCCCACCTAAAAGAGTAGTAACCTGGATGTAAAACAACCAGAACAAATCCAGATACCTCGTTCAACTTCCTAAGAAGCAATCATAATTAGGGAAACCTATAACAATTAAACAAAGTGCTGTCGTTGAGTATCCTGCTGCAGGTAAGGAATGAAAAGTAAAACTCAGAAATCAGTTCTAGGTTATGTAAGGCTTAACTAATCTTGATTAGGGAATATAAGCTTTGATTTGTGTAGATTAGATTTAGGAAGGTCCCTGGAGCATAATTTGTATAGATGGGGTGGGGACGGGGGGGGGGGGGTGGGCGATTGGTAAATCCATGGCTCTTGAACAAGACTGTCGTGAAAGGTGACAAAAGAGGCTTCGCTTAAATACGATATGTTAGATCGAAAGGTGCGGATATCGTAGCCTAGCTGTAAACCACTGTAGAGTGTACTATAGCCCTTTCAAGGACTGGAACCCCAAAATCATCAAAGGAATAAGGATAGACCACATACAAGAAGAGAAACATAAGGCAGGAAAATAAGCGTTAAGGAGAAGGTGAGACAAGCTGTACTCGTTAATGATGGACAGAACTATGGATAGAACGATGGATAGAAGGATGGATAGAACGATGGACTGAACGATGGATAGAACGATGGATAGAAGGATGGATAGAACGATGGACTGAACGATGGATAGAACGATGGATAGGTAAATGGATAGATCGATGGACAGACCTATGGATAGAACGATGGATAGGTAAATGGATAGATCGATGGACTGAACGATGGATAGAACGATGGATAGAAGGATGGATAGAACGATGGATAGAATGATGGATAGAACAATGGATTGGAGGATGGACCGGTAATTGAATAGAGCGAAGGACTGGAACGAATGAGCGAACGAACGAAGGAACTTTATTTTCAAACGCTCACACACTGGGCTCGCAGGCCCGTCTTACATTTGTCCCTTCCAATCACTCATCTTTCGCACAGCAGTTGTATTTTACCAATAAAGCAAAATGGATTGGTTAATAAAGAAGAAGATGGAGAGTGTAATGGATTCAGTCTGAATACAAACACACACACATATCGTTTTTATATGTACCATTAACGATCTGTTTCTCGGCATCGGTGAAAGCAGGTAGTCGACTCTCATTCAAACCTTGGGCCTTGCTTCTGGCTGCGATCCTTTCTTTCATCTCCTGAAGTACACAACAGATTACAGTGAGGTCAACAAAGTCACCTGTTTTCATTGACACTCATTGTCACAAACCGGAAAGATAAGAGCACACACGTGACAACATACCAATCAAAAGATATCGTTACCGTATTGGGAACCGAACACGTCGCCTCTAAATGACGACAGTGCCTCTCTGTAGGAACAAATGTAATAAGATTCATGACGAACTCGAATGCTTATGACGATACTAGTTGAGGCAATTATTAGAATACCTAATTTCCACAACAGTCTTGGCAGAAGTGTTGGGCCCATGTGTTACATATGCAGTCAGAGCCCTTTGTCAACCTGCTTTTTTAGCTGCTGAGGAAAATACTCATTGAATGTTGAAATAAGAATCGCAATCACAGCACTCGGGACACTCCCATAAGTACTCAGTCCCCATCTTCAGCAGCAAGCGAAGAGTTCCAATTCCGATGTTACCAGTAACCGTCTGATTGTATATCCGTCTCATCATTCCCCTTGTGTGTTGAGCGTCGGCCAGATCCCCTGGTAACTCTTCGCAGCACCATTCTCCTAAGACCGTAATGATCTGTCTGTGCCTCCGCACTGTTCACTCGCTCCCAAAGGGCCCTCACAATATCTAACTTGTCAGACATCAATTCACCACTAAGTGGTGCAGAGCCAGTCAGTCTATCTGCCTGTTCCTTTCCCAACACACTAACATAAACTGGAGAAAATATCCAAAGGATGCTAACTAGCCGGAACCTCAAAGTGATGCTTGCCACTCTGCACGAAGCATGCCTGTTTTCATTTTTTTTATATGCTCAGATATGCGTGAAACACGGTATGCTACAGAATCCGTCACATCAAAAGGTCATTGCTCCATCCGCATGTCGACGATTCACGGGAAGACCGGCTGCCAACCAAGGTCACGTCTGCCCTGTCATACCATCCAGGCTGCATTTTCTCGAATTCGGGTGAGAAGGTCTTATAATTCAGTGTGTACAATCAACAAAGATGGCAGAAGGAGTCCAATAGAGATGACGATGATGCTCATACAATGAACGATGATGACAATAATGATTATGATGATAAAAATGCTGGTGATGAAGATGATGATGATGATGGTACTAATTGTACAATTTATTCAAGTGGAACACTGACCTCAGGGTAGTCTCCGTTGATCAGCATTGGGTCAATAAACCATGCACCATAGAAATTGATGCTACGCTCTGTAGCAGCAACATCAGCTGGGTTCAGTGGGTCTCTGGGTTCCGGCCAACCCTGGTTGATAGAGATCCCGATCTGACCTGGGCACAAGAGATGCTTCATTATTTAAACGGGCAAGGGATTATCTTACATATCTGTTTTGAAAACAGAGTTTTACGACGAATCTTTGGACCTATCAAAGATGTAAACAGCGGAAATGGAGAGTGAGAAGCAACAACGAAATTAATAATCTATTGATCACTGGCATCATGAGAGTTAATAGATTGAAATAACTGGGACATATTAAGAGAATGTCAGATGACAGAGAGGTAAAAACTGTACACACAAGGGATATGAATGGTCGTAAACCACGAGGCAGACCAAGAAGATAATGTGCAGACAGACCTGCAAACACTCGGTGTTACCAACTGGAAAGAGAAGGCCAACCAGAGAGATGAGTGGAGGCGGGTGATATCTGCAGCAATGAACCTCAAGGGCTTGGAATGCTGAAGAAAGAAGAAGAAGAAGAAGAAGAAAAAGAAGAAGAAGAAGAAGAAGAAGAAGAAGAAGAAGAAGAAGAAGAAGAAGAAGAAGAAGAAGAAGAAGAAGAAGAAGAGAAAAGAAAAAGACATGAAAAAGAAGAAGAAGAAGAAGGAGAAGAAGAAGAAGAAGAAAAGAAGAAGAATAAGAAGAAGAAGAAGAAGAAGAAGAAGAAGAAGAAGAAGAAGAAGAAAAAGAAGAAGAAGAAGAAGAAGAGGAAGAAGAAGAAGAAGAAGAAGAAGAAGAAGAAGAAGAAGAAGAAGAAGAAGAAGAAGAAGAAGAAGAAGAAGAAGAAGAAGAAGAAGAAAAAGAAGAAGAACGGATTATCTTAGTTTGGACTGGGCTTTAACCTGGCTTTTTTGTTTGTACCTGGCCAGGAATTGATGCAGTGGTCATCAATGGTTTAAAAGAAAACTATTAATCTTATTTTTCTTCATCATAAAAATTATACAAACCGTCATGTACTGATGAGCACTAACAGAAAGAAGTAAAACGATGTATGGACACACTAGACAATTAAAAAACCCCGCTATAGCTACAATGCTGGGAATCGAACCGCGACTTCCAATTGACGCCAATACTTCATTTCATCAAAACGTGTACTCAGACGCATGAACAACTAGGTATCTTACCCCCCCCCCCCCCCCCCGGTATTTGGTACCCTTGAGGAAAATTGTTGCAGACATCAGCTGCCTGAATTCCCTCTTTTACTGACCCTTCACTTTCCAGTTAGTTCCAAGTGTTTGTGCGTCTGTCATGATGTTATTTCTCTACCGTCTACTTGGTTTGCCTTGTGGCCTTCTCCCAGCAAATTCTTTTGTGTATAAAATATGTTGATAATCATTTTTAAACGAGAAAATCAGACTAGTTCTCTCCCCCCCCCCCCCACCTAAAAGAGTAGTAACCTGGATGTAAAACAACCAGAACAAATCCAGATACCTCGTTCAATTTCCTAAAAAGCAATCATAATTAGGAAACCCATAACTACACAAAGTACTGTCGTTGAGTATCCTGCTGCAGGTAAGGAATGAAATGTACAACTCAGAAATCAGTTCTAAACAATCAGCTCAGATATAAATTCACTGTAACCAACCCAGATATAAATTCACTGTAACCAACCCAGTTATAAATTCACTGTAACCAACCCAGATATAAATTCACCGTAAACAACCCAGATATAAAATCACCGTAAACAACCCAGTTATAAATTCACTGTAACCAACCCAGATATAAATTCACTGTAACCAACCCAGTTATAAATTCACTGTAACCAACCCAGATATAAATTCACCGTAAACAACCCAGATATAAAATCACCGTAAACAACCCAGCTATAAATTCACTGTAACCAACCCAGAAATAAATTCACCGTAAACAACCCAGATATAAATTCACCGTAAACAACCCAGATATAAATTCACAACAATCAACAAGATACCAAATCACAATACTCAGCTTATAAATCAGTTCTCGGGATTCAACTTCAACATCGGCTCTTAAAATTTAACCTAAACAGCAGTTCTAAATATTTTACATCAATTCTCAACAATCAACTCTGAGCATCTGTTTTCAATAATGAGTTTAAAAATCAGTTCTGAATAACCATTTTAAAATCAGCTTAAAAAAAATTTATATCTTCAGCAGTCCATTCTTCTTCTCATCATCTTCTTCTTCTTCTTCTTCTTCTTCTTCTTCTTCTTCTTCTTCTTCTTCTTCTTCTTCTTCTTCTTCTTCTCTTCTTCTTCTTCTTCTTCTTCTTCTTCTTCTTCTTCTTCTTCTTCTTCTTCTTCTTCTTCCTTTTCTTCGCACTCACCGGTTATAAGCTTGTGAAAGGTGTTGGTTGGTTGTTTATCCCCTTCTGGACTTTGGTTTCGTTCCAGATTATGAGTTTTACATGCACATCCTTTTACATATCTGCCTTATTTGTATGCAGACTGTTGGTCCTTCACCCTTAAGGCAGATTCATTCGACTTTTAAGAAAACATCTCTAACGAGTAGCATTTTGCAACACGCTTGTAAGCGACAAATTGGTTATTATCTGCCTCTTCGCCAGGAACCCACACAAGGATGCCATCCTAGCAAATATCGTCATCATCAATTTCCACGTCTGTAGTTAAGCGTTGTGGGGAGGAGCAGTTTGTGATCCATGGCTTAATATGTAGCAATCGCTAATGTCATTCCGTGTGGATGAGGAAGTTCTTAAATATCACGAAACCATGTTCTCCTTGGGCGGCTTTTTGCTTTTACTTCAGATCTCTTTCTTTATGTGCAGCGCTAGCGTGTGTAATTGTTCTGACGGCATTCTTACTAAATGACCGAATCATTTCTAACTCTGTCTAGAATAGTAAAGCTGGTAGCTTTTCTCAGGCATCTCATTTCACAGTGTTAATTTTAGGTAGGTTAGACTTTGATAATGTCCAAGTCTGGCACTGGTAGCACAGTGTTGGTTTGAATATGTAGTTTATAATCTGTTTTTTTTTTTTTAACGCTCATACTTATGTTTGGATGTATTAAAAACAGTGTCACTTGGTATGTAAGTGCACTGGCTAGCGGTCATAGTATTTTTATTTACCGATATATTCTCCCACAGTTATACCAGTAATCCTCAGCATTAAAGATAGCGACGATTACATCACTAGCAACCCATAAGAAGATAAAACAATGTCTATATATCTTTTTTTTACCGCACAAGGACATCACACAAGCGATAAACACCCGATGACACAATGTGCCACCATGTGGGTGAGGATCACCCGTGGAGAGGTCCCAGAAACTGCGCTCAGCCATTAGACCATATTTATGGTCAGGCTACATTGCAGCCCCTGAAAAGAGCTAGAGTAGGGCTTCAAATAACAAAAAATTGCATTACAGAAATGGATAACAAGATTATTAAAACAGTGATAAGAAACGAGAAGACATCCAACAACTACCTTTCTGTAAAGGTTTGAACTCCTTCTCGTACACCCTGTAAGCCTTGGCATGAGCCAGGATCAGGTTGTGGGCAGCTATGTACTGCCCCTTGGCCGGATCCTTGTGTCCAGGCGCCGCGCCGCCATCTCCATAGCCATTCAGGGTGACAATTGGTGGTTCGTTGAAGGTTATCCACAACTTGACCTAGAAACAGCAGAGCTGCAAGTTAATGTGCAGGTAGCACACACAAGGGGATATAACTACGGTGAGAAATACTAGATATCTTCCTCAATCTATCATCCTCATTGTCGTCGTCGTTTTCATCAAGGTCATGTTCACCTCAGTAGTCTCAGGCTATAATTAATCCACATATACCCGTGTTGTGCGCTAAACTCTCTACAACAGGTAGGAGGCATGATCGCCTACGCCGGTCGTAAAGGCTGCTAGATGATGCTGATGATGACAGAGACGAGTGCAAACGGTTTACGCGGCTTTAAAATTTAGAGAAAGTAGTTCTCGAGATTAGTGGATGACAGCCGGTTCACGAATTTAGCAAGACCCCTGTGTGACTAGCCGCTGAGTTGAATGTTAGCCTGTGTCCAGTCAGAGCCACTCTGTCCGTGAGAGAGTTCGGATGTGTGTTCAGTCAGTGCCACCCAGTCCGTGAGAGAGTTCGGACGTGTGTTCAGTCAGTACCACCCCGTTCGTGAGAGAGTTCGGACGTGTGTTCAGTCAGTGCCACCTAGTCCGTGAGAGAGCTCGGACGTGTGTCCAGTCAGTGCCAC